AATTTAAATTCTTTTTAAAAACAACAAAAAATTAATTTATCTAAAATGCAAGCAGTATTTTTTTTGATTCGCTGAATCTTTACTGCTTACTTTGAACCGTAATATTATAATAACAGTTCAAAAAAAAAGAATAAATAATTAATTAATTAAAAAAATTAAAAAGCTAAATGAAAATAAATAATTTAAAAATTGGCTTAAAAATATAAAATGAAAAAAAAAAAAGTATGCAAAATTATTTATTAATTAAATCCTTTCTATTTTTAAAATTATTTTCTCTTTTAGATGATGGTTGAGGTCCTTGAACCGGATTCATTTTCTGGATAGCCTTGAAAAATATTTGTTCAATGAAAAATAGAATTTCCATTTTGTAAAGAGAAAAGAAAAAAAATGGAAAAATCATTTTCAATTAAAATTAATAATTTGAAATAATACTCGATTTGAATATACAATTTGAAAAATAAACAATAAATTTTTTCTTTCTGAAAGAGAAAAATTCTATTTGTATCAAATAATAGCATTTTTTTTTTTTTTTCAAAAAAGTAAGCAATAATATTTATTTGATGATTGTTACTTTTTAATTTTATTTAATTTATGTTATTCCTATTTAATTATTATAAAAACAAAAATTTATAATTTTTAATTTTAATTTTTGTAAGTTAAATGAAAATTTGTTTTTGTTTCCGTTTTTATATTTATATTTATTATTTTGTTTTTTAATGAAATTTAATTTATATTTGTTATTTTAATGGAAAATAATAAATAACTTTAAAAATAAAAAGAAAAACTTTTTGGTTTTATTATGATATAATTGAATAATTAATTATTATATTCTAATGCAATGATTTCAATTTTTGAAATTAAAAAAAAAAAAAAAAAAAAAAACAAATATTTTGTTGGCATTAGACAGTTACACATTTAATAAAAATTGCAGATAAATGACGAGAATTCTGGATGAATTTCATTAGTTTTTGTGATAAAAAATTGACAAAGTTACATTTGACTAATTGATTGACCTAATTTGAAATAATTATCAAAAATTGCAAATTACAAAAATATTTTACTTTTTTTTTTTTTTTTTTTATTGATGATAAGGATGTATTGTGGTTGGAAAATAATTACAAATTGTATCTATTAAGATTGATAATTTATCAGGACTGATGATCTATAGAGAATTAAAATCTATCAAGAGTGATGATCTATAGAAACTTAAAATCTATCAAGAGTAATAATCTATCGGGACTTAAAATCAATCAAGACTGATAATCTATCGAGACTGATAATCCATAGAGACTTAAAACCTATCGAGGCTGATAATCCATAGAGACTTAAAATCTATCGAGGCTGATAATCCATAGAGACTTAAAATCTATCGAGGCTGATAATCCATAGAAACTTAAAATCAATCAAGACTGATAATCTATCGAGACTGAAAGTTTTAATTTCTATTCTTTACAGTTTTTTTTTTTTTTTTAAAAAAAACTCCTTATCATATATTGTATGCTTTACATTCGAAATATTTTAAAATAAAAATATTTTAGCATTCTAAAAATTAAAAAATGTCCAATTTTAGCATTATTGATTGATTGATTTTTTAATACTATTGATTTTTTAATATTATTGATTAAATTCACTGATAAATAAACTGATAAGTAACAATGATTCAGATCAGCGATATTTCTGCACTCTTTAACAATACTTTATTTATTTTTTTTTTAAAAAAAATATATCACTCAATGAAAGATACATATCAAATTAGAATAGAATTCAAGTTTGAACAATGAATTTTTAAATATATTTTATAACAGGTAATATTTATGCAAATTTGAATAATGAATTTATTCAAATAATTGATGCAAAATGCTAATACCAATAAATGAGAATAAATTTTCATATCAAAAATGAGTGAAAAAAAAAAGAGCAATTTAAATTGACTTTGTTTTGAATTTTTAATTTTAAACAATTTTTATTACAAATTTAAAAAATAGTGAAAATGAAAAAAAAAAAAAAAATTCCATTTAAACTTGTATTTTTCTACTTGTATTATAAAAAATTTTCTTTCTATGCAAATATGCAACAAAAAAGAAAACAAATTAAATTTGCATAGATTTTATCTTTAAAATATTTAACACAAAATTTTCTAATCAATTCTTATTTTATATTTTAAATTTAACCAAAAAAAAAAAAAAAAAAAAAAAAAAAGATTAAAATTCACATACATTCATAATTTAGTCGTTTCTTATTTTTGCATTAATTGGAATAATATCGTTTTTCTGGAGCAAATTTTACGATAGTAATTTAAAATTAAGGACAAAAAAAAAAAATTAAACTCCATTTTCAAATATTTTTTTATTTTTAGTTTTTTTTTTTTTTTTTGCTCTGATATGGTCCGAAAGATTCTTTACAATCATTTCCTTATCGATGTTTTATCGTTGAATTCAGGAAATTTCATCGTTTTTCTTTTTCTTCCATTTTGTTTTTTGTCATCAATAATTATCATAATGTCATACCATTTTTGTTAATTTTGTTTCTTCGTTTTTTTTTTTTTTTTTTTGAAAACAAATTTTATTTGAAAAAAAAATTTGATACAAATTGTTAATTATAATTAAATCAATTAAAATTAACAATTCATTCATTCATTCATTCGTTTTTTCTTTCTTTTTTGTTGCATTGTTTGAAAGAATGAAAGTTTTTGTGGAAAAACAAAAAAATTTCCTTTTTTTATTTTTTGAATTTTTCAATTGTTTGCAAATTTTTTTTGATTAATATTTTTTGATTAATGCAATTTATTTTATTCAATTATTAATTAATTTCGTGTTTATTACTTCAAAATTTCGCTCATTTTTTTTGCATATTGAGCTTAATTTTTTTTTTTTATCGACAAAATAAAATAAAATAAAATTTTCTTTTTTTTTTTTTTTTTGTGATGTTTATATATAATTAAAATAATGCATCATTTATGATCTAAAAAAATCAAAAAATCAAAAAATTTAAAATAAAAGAAATGTTTAGTGGATTGTCTATAATAATCATAATTTTACGTAATTTTTAAGTGATATCGAAATGTAGTGATAACGATAATAATAATAAAAAAAATAATAGTTATAACAATAATAAGTAATAATGAGTAATACTAATAATGATAATATCAAAAATAATAATAATAAATAATGATAATAAAATAACTGAATAAATCAACAATTAATTTATTGTATTTTAAATTTGTTTGTTTTTTTCTTTCTGCTAAACAAAAAAACAACATTCCAACAACAATGATAACATTCAATTAAATGTTTTTTTTTTTTTAAAAAAAAAGGTAAGCGATATGAATGTATTTGTGTGGTATGAAATGAAAGAGAAAAATATTTAAAATCAAATCATTTAAAAAAATCATTTAAAATTAAATTTAAAATTTAAGAACACAATAAAACGAACAATTCTATTAATCTAAAAATATGCTTCAAAAAGAAAGAAAGAAAAAAAAAAAGGTCACAGATGAATGAGTAAAAGGTTATGGTAAACAATAAAATCTTTTACAGTATCAGCAACAAAAATCAACAAAATGATCCAATGGTAAATTCAACAACAACAACAACAATTGCTATTATTTTAAAATTTTTTTTTTTTTCAAACATTTTTTGATAAGTTTATAAAATGTTAATCAAATCATTCATATCAGAAATGATTATTGTTTTTTTTTTTTTTTTTTACCTAATGAAATTATTATTTTACGTTGTTCTAATTTTGGTCATTTCTGTCATTAATTTTTCTTTTTTATCTTTGTTTTGTTATCATAATTTCAAATAAAATAAAATTATTCTTATCAATAATTTTGATATTATCATATTTATTCGTGTAATAATTAATATTAATGGCAATGATAGATGTTGTTATTCTTCTCTTTGTTGTTGTTATTGTTGTTGAAACTGTTGTTGCTCAAATTATTAATGTTTTGTTGTTGTTGTTGTTGTTGCTGTTACTCCTATTAATAGTAAAAATAGCAGCAGTGATTGTTATTGTTGATACATGATATTAATTATTAATGTTCTTTGTTATTGTTGTCGTTATTATTACTATTATTGTTACCATTACTACTACTTAACCATCATCATTATTACTTATTACTAATAAAAGTAGTAATATTATTACTTATTATTAATAAAAGTCAATCTTAACAATAGCGACAGTAATAGTAACTGTCATTGATATTTATGGTAGTAAACAATGATACAACGATAATAAAAGTTCAGCCATTCATTTTGCATTTTTAATTTAATATTCATTTCACAAGATGAATAGTAGAATTGAAGAAGTATAGAATTGATTTAAAATTATGGATAAAATTAAATGATGAGATGAATGAATGAATGGAAGAGATGTGATAGGCGGGATCATCATGGTGACAAGAACACCTTTTTCATACTTCTTTCGTCCTCGGTGTCCATTTGTCAAAACGTCCTTGGAGGAGGAGAAAGAGGTAAATGAAAGCGGAAGAAGAGAAGGTTTAATGATTAGTTGGTTGCTTAGTTAGTTGGTTGGTTGGTTGGTTGGTTCATTGGTTCATTGGTTCGTTGGTTGGTTGATTTTTACATTCGGTTAATTCGACTTCTAAAAAGACGACATTTCATCGGAAGACGATAGAGCGAGAAAAAAAAAAAAAAAGAAGGAATTAAAAAAGGCGATAGTACTGCTCACCAAATATATATTTCTCTATCTTTCACTATTACTACTACTAATTTTTTTTTTTACTATCATTTAAATATTTAAAAATCAGTGATCAATGATTATGATAGTGATAATGATAGTATATTAAATTACTTTCTTGTTTTTACTATCACTATTACTTTCAAAAAAATATTACTATTACTATTAATATTAATATTACTATTATTATTATTGTTATTGTATGATTGTATTATTACAGTTACTATTATTCACTATAATTGCTACTTTTCCTCTGTGGTAATTGGCCCAATTTAATCGGTCATTTATTTGTTTATCATATGGAATTAAATATTCAATTAATAAGCCTTATTAGCTTAGCTTTAGGCATAGCTAATATTGCTATTACTGCTTCAAATAGTAGTAATAAAACTGTAATAATCGGACATAATTGCTCAAGAAATGAATTTAAATGCTCAATTGATAATAAATGTATTCCACTGCTGAAAGTGCAGGATGGTACCATGGATTGCATCGATGGTTCAGATGAAGGTATTCATATCATTTCTTCTCTCTCCTCTCTCTCTCTCTCTCTCTCTTTCTCTCCTTCTTTATTTTTTTTATATAATAATTCTTTTCTCCTTTTTTTTTTTTTTTTGTTTCCTTTTTATCAAAATTATATTTATGAAAAATTTTTTTTAATATATAACAATTTTTTAGAAAAGAAATAAATAAATTAAATTGAATGAATTTAACTTTTTTTTTTTTTAAACTTTATAATGAATTGATTGTTTAATATTAAAATTTAATTTATTTTATAGGATTTTATTTTTTATTTTTTTTTTTGATTGTTAAAAAATTAAGTGAAATTTTCATGAATTCATTGTAGTCAATTTATTTTAAGCATACTCTATCAAGTAATAGTTAAACAAAATTGCTAAAATAAATTTTAAATACATGTGTAAAATTTTGATTGCGATTATTTTCTAAATTGTTAATTTCAATATTTCAATTTCATTTTCAAATTTTGAAATAATTTATTAATTAAAACTTATTTTTATTGCTTGTTTGAATTGTGACATGTATTAAAACAAGTAAAAAATTTACATATATTTAGAGATTTACAAATTTTATAGACAAAAATTGGGTCATTTTAAGGAGAGTTTTCTTTCCTTTTTTTTTTTTTTTATGTAAATATGTCATGATAAAATTTAATTACCATCCCTTTCATTCTATTTTCTCTCATCAATTCAAACTTGTCACCTCTAAAATCTTATGACATTTCATTGAAATTTGTCATTGTTTACAACATAATTTAATCATTTCATCTCATTAAGCTAATTATTACTTTTGCTATTATTTATTTTTATTTTTACTTTTGCATTTCAATTTTTATTCAAATTTTTATTCAAAAAAAAGCTATTTTATCTGCTAATATGCATTATCAAAATCACAAAAAAATTCTTTTTTTTTCAAAAAAAGAAAAAAAGAATGATGGAATTGAAATTATAATTAATTTCTAAAAAAAAAAAAAATTAACAACTCGGAATGCACAATTAATTTTAATTTCAAATTTTATTAAAATATCAATCGTATTATCTATTAATATTTTTTAATTGCATTATTTATTAATGGTTTTAAATTGATATATTTTTTTTTTATCAATTCATATTTTATTTTTATTTATTGATATTTTAAAATAATAAAATGGATATTAAATGTACATAGAAATTTAAATTGAGAATTCTTTTACTTTGTTAATTCACTAAAATTACAGTTAGTAGTTGAAAAATAAAAATTTTGCTTCTTTCAAACTTGAATTTAACATTTTTTTTTGGTTTTAATTAATTATCAGTTCTTTTCTTTTCTTTTTTCGTTGTTTTTTTTTTTTTTTCTGCTTTTTCAGAGTAAATGATAAAACCAGTTAAAAATTCTAAACTACGGATGCATTAGTATAAAAAAGTTTGAAACATTTTGTATTTTTCAAATTTTTTTAAAAGAAAAATTAAACTGAAAAAAAAAAATTATTCAAATAAAGATAATAATATTAAAATTTTAAATCATATAAACATATTAACAACACTTCTGCATATATAAACTTATAAATTTTAATTAAATCTTAACGATGAGAGTAAAAATAAGAAATTGAAATTTTAAACTGAAAGAATTGTTTGTAAGAATTTTGAGTTTTAAATTTTGAATTTTAAAAAAATTTCAAAGATAATAAAACATATACGATTTATTTGGCTAGATAAATTTTTATGTTTATTTGCTTGGAATGTTTTGTTTACAAAATCATTGCAAAATTTTTGAGAGTGTTTTTTGCTATAACAATAAGATAGCTAATTGGTTGGTATATTACAAATTTTATGTTTTATCAAAAATATTGCTACCTTAATTTAAATTTATAATTGTTTACAAATAAATAATTTAATGAATAATAAATGTATTAATAAACATTTGCATACATTTAATCTCATAAACAATTATAATATGGTATTGTTTGAATTTAACAACCTTTATAATGATTATTTAAAATTTTTTGAACCTTTGCAATAAAATATTAACAAATAAAGTTTCATGAAGTCATTTGATTAATTATCATAATTAGATCAATTAATAATTTAATGAGTCAATGTGCTAATTATTAATTATTACGATTATTAATTAGCGATATATGTCGAATAGATAATAGATAATAAACTGTTTCACTAATTTAACTGATAATACTTTCATAGATTTAAGTGAGAAAAGTAAAAAATATTTCTTTTAAATTTGTGGTTTTTTTAATTTTTAATTTTGCATTCATAAAAGCAACAAATGAAACCATTTGAATAATATGAAATTTATAAATTTAAAAACAAAACCATTATTCTGTGTCACTGTTAAGAGTGAAAAAAGTAATTTGTAAAAATCAATGAGCTTTTTTTTTAAAAAAAAAAAAAAACTTTAATCATACTCTCTAAAACGATTTCAATATCTAAATATGACATTTGCTAATTATTTTTTATTTTATAAGTTTCATCTAATCAGTTTTTATAATTTTTTGCATTCATCTAATCTGTTTTTGATTCAAATAATTCAAATTGCTTAATTAGCTCAAATTAGAGATCATTAATTATCAATAATTTTTATCCTATGATTATTTCATTTATTTGCAAATATTATTGATTCTCGTTATTATTATTATCAAAATTACTTTTCCATTATCATTTTTCATTCTATCTTATCATTAATGAAGAAAAAAATTTTTTTAGTTACTTCAAAATTGTCATTTCAACTATTTTTGAAGATAGTAATAAGATTTTTTCCTTCACTTTTTTTTTTTTTTTCAATTGTAAGGAAAATTTTCATAAAATGATTTGTAAAATTTTGAAATGTAATTTTAATCTAAAAATTTAACCTTAAGAAAGAAATATTTTTTTTACTTTCTAACATCAAATTAACACCAATCCATTTCACTAAAAGTTTCAAAAATATTCTCTTATTCCTTCTATTATTCTAATTAAACAAAAAAAAAAAATAACAAAAATTTAGTTTTAGTACACCAAATTGCATACATTAAAATTAACAATTAAATGTGATTAAAATTAATAATTAAATGTGAATGTCAGAATTATTTGAATTAATTTTTTTTTTTTTTCAAATCTTATTTTGTTTTTCTTTTTGCAAATGATAAAATAAAATGAGGCCATTATCAAATTAAATATCATTCAATCATTTATTGTAAATTTTTGAGTTCCATCATTTTGTAAAGTATTAAATTTTTTTGTATTTTCTTTTTAATAAGTTTTTTTTTTTTTTAATATTCTCTTTTTATTGAGATTTCTTTCATCTTTTATCGAAAATTAAATACACTTTACTTACTTTGAAAATTAATTATAATCATTCCTTACAGTTTACATTTCAAATTTGTTTACATTTTAAATTTCATATTTAGTTCAAATCAATATACAATTTTTTTCATGATAATTCCTTCTATTTTTTTTTTTTGCAGTTTTAAAACTGAAACGACGATTTTAATTTCATTTGCTCGTCATTTTGTACTTACTTTAACAATTAAAAAATTTTTTTATTTCTAAAATCATTCAAAAAAAAATAATATAAAAATTTCCGTCATTTTTTGAAAGATAAAAGTATGAAAATTAAAAGAAAATTTAATTTTATGTGAAAATGTTACCTTTGAAAAAATTTTAAATTTCTACAATTTTTTTTTGTTTTTAAATGGAAATTTATACACTCTCAAATGAGTACACAAAATGTTTATATTTAATTAACTTGAATAAATAATTACAAATTTCATATTATGTATAGGTTTCTCAGTGCTCATATATAAATTTCTATTATTAAAATAGGTGAAAATATTATATTTGAAATAATACTGATTCAGAAATGTAAATGCAAGATGATAAGTGAATGGTAAGTTAATAATAAAAATTATCATTTCAGTTATTTAATTAATTTAATGCTTATAAACAATTCGTTAGATTAGTATTGTAAGGTATCCAATACAATTCAATCTATAATTAAATTCAGAAAAAAATCTTGTAATTTTCTTCCTATTTAATGAAGTAAAAAATTTTCAATCAATAAGAGATTAACTTTATTATCGTTATCACGATCATTATCACAAAAACTATGCATTTATTTTGCACATTTCAAATAATACATTTTTGTTGTTAGGGAAAAGAATAAATTAATGGTGAACATTAAAGTTATACTTCCTAACCGAAATCATGATTATCGCCATCATCATCACCATCATTATCATCATCATCATTATTGCCATCGTCATCATCATCACCGTCATTATACCATCATTATCATCATCATTCCATCATTGTCGTCATCATCATTATTACCATCGTCATCATCATCGGCACCATTATCATCACTCCATCATTGTCATCATCATCAATCCATTATCGTCATCATCATCATCATCGTCATTATACCATCATCATCATCATCATCATTCCATCATTGTCGTCACCATCACTATTATCATCACCATCATCATCATCATCATCATTATCATCGTTGTCATCGTCGTCATTATCATCGTCATTATTTGTCATTACCATAAAAACGAGTGCTACACACTGACCAAATGGGCATAAACAGGTTAAGAGATGCTGGAAGGAAAGGTTGGTTGATTAATGGTGCATCCTTACTTCGTCATTCAATTCATCTCGCTGTCCTTTCCCTTAACGATGATCATTTTTAAACACCTTACTTTCATTCATTCAATTTATTCATTCATTTAATCGACGATGAGAAATAGGAAGCGTAATTCAATTTCACTTACACTAAATTCTAAATTCATTCATATTTCCAAAATTAGATGGATAATTGAGTTTATTATTGGTATAAAGATTGAATGAAAGAAGGGAAAAATTAGCTAATTTCTCTTATTAATATTATTCAAATTTAATAATTGAAATGAAGTACTGATAATAGCGAAGAATTAACTTAGTCATTGATACTGCTAAAATTATTATTATTTTGTATCATCATTATCAGTATTACATTGAAAAATTGCTAGTTTTTTTTCGCATGATAGCATTAATAATCAAATATATGATAATAATAACAACAATGATGATAACCAATAACAGTAATAATAATAAAAATGGTAATCATGATAAGGATAGTAAGTTTGATAAGTTTCAACAACAATTTATCATTTTTTCAAATAAACAATTTGAAAAAAAAAAAAAAAATTGAATTCTGCAACAAAAATTAGGATGGATGAGAAAGAAATTAACAATGAAAATTTCGGAATAATTTGAAATAAGAAATCAACGTACAGTACGAAAGTAATTATGAATTTTCATTAATTAAAAGAAAAAAAAAACACAGTTATTTAGTAATTCGATTTTCAATATTTTTTATTTCAATTATTAATTTGAAAGATGACGAAGGCAATGCAATAAGACTATCAATTCTTCAAATATTTGTTGCAATTCCTTTTTTTTTTCCCTTTTTTATATTTTATTTTATTTTTTAAACAAATAAAAAAAAAAAAAAAAAAAAGGAGAAAAGAACGGAAGAAGTTAAAATGGAATGGAAGGGATATTTTAGAGAAAGAGAGAGAGAGAGAGAGAGAGAGAGAGAGAGGGAGATTGAATCATTCATTCTAAAATATTTTCTAATTTTTCGAACAAAATTGCAATACATCTGAATAAAGGGAATATTATGACCTCGTCTGACCGCAATTTTCAAGGTCAAATTGATGATCGAAAGACTCAGAAGTAACTAATCGGGAAGAAATGCTTTTCAGGAACAAAATTTCCATTACTTATTTATTCATCCTATTACTATATTTGATCATAAAAATATTTACACACAAATAAACAATTTGCACATCTATTTACTATTTACATAGTAGTAGTAATTTCTACATATTTATATAATAACTGATAATTATTTGATGTAATTTAAATTTTCAAACTTATAAATTTTACAAGATATTGCCAAAAAATTTGAAATCAATTAAAATTTTCAATAATTCAAAGTAAAATATTTTCACTTTTATTAATTATATTAAAATTATATCACAGATATTATTATTGTTATTATTAATTCAAACAAAATTAAGGTTAAGGACAAATGTTGAATGAATGAATAAAGCATATAAAATTATTGGAAAATATTTGTTAAATAAATTATTAAAATTGTAACAATCACTTATTAATTACTTAGCATTATTGTTACTTTTTAAACAAATTTGTTAAAAATTAAATTTTGAACATTTTAATAAATTATTATCTCATTTAAATTATCTTATTTAAATAAAAATACAAGAAAAAAAATTTTTTTTTAAATTAAATTAATCATTTATGTTTAATTTTACGAAATTTTTACTATTGCAAGAATATTACATTGTGGAAAATTTAAATTTGATATATTTATTTGGACAGTTTAAAAAACAAACAATAATTTTATATTAATACTAATATTGTTTATATTAAATAATTATTTATTCTTCACTTTAATAATTTAATCAATTATCAATTATTTTGACGAAAATTTTTTTCTGACATTAAAAAAACTTTTTTTTTTTTTTGATATCGTTCAAATTATTTTAAAAGTTTGCCAATGAAAATGTAAAATCCAATGAAGACATAGGCATCTCTTTACCTTGAACTCATTTTCAATTACAATGTCATCAATTGTCATCATTATAGTGGCACTGATTTGAAGTATGCTAAATTCAACACCTTTGATAGAATACTTTCACCTTACCGCAATTTAAAGAGTTCCTTTTTTATTATTATTGTTATTATTATTATTATTATTATTATTATTATTATTATTATTATTATTATTATTATTATTATTATTATTATTATTATTAAATTATTATTATTATTATTATTATTATTATTATTATTATTGTTATTTGAATTGAAACAGTGAAAAAAAGACGTTCGCACTTCAGTAAAAAATTTTTTTTTTTCATCAAATTTTATCAAAATTATTAAGCATACAGTGAAAATATTCGAAAAAAAATTCCAAAATTAATTATATATTTAAATTTAATTTTACAGAATTAAATATAATAAAGTAACTAAGCCAAACAATACGTGTACATATATAATAATTAGTAATTAAATTTTAATATACTATTTAATTTAATTATAGTTCATTGATTAAAAATTACTGAAAAATTAGAATTACTCAGTTTTTTTTTTGTATTATAAAAATAATACCTAAAAAATTTGATTTTCAACTATTTTTCATTTCTTCAAAATTACAAGCATTAATTTAATTAATTTTAAAATGGTCATTCATGTTTCATTCGTTTTTTTTTTTTTTTTTTTTTTAAAAAAAAATCACAAAAATTCAAAGAAATTAGTGAATGTTTAAAAAAGATTAAAGTTTTAAATTTTAGTTTAACATTTATCTCTAAATGTTACCACCATTTTGTTTTCATATCTTTCCTATTTTTTACTTTCTTTATTTTCCTAATTTTTACTAATTTTAGTAAGAAATTGAAGATAGAAATAATGATAATAAATTAAAACCAAAAAAAAAAAAAGAAATGAAAAGTTCATTTTTAAAAATTTAACCTCAAAAAAAAAAAAAAAAAAATTCGTATAAAGGTCAAATCAATCGGTGATATCTTACAAAATTTATTTCTTTTTTTTTTCTTTTACTTTCTTTTCATCCTCTCTTCTATCCTATTTTCCTACAATCATCCTAATACTATTACCATTTATTTATTTATTTATTTTTTTTTAAACCACCAAAGCAATTACCTGAGATATTCGTCCTTTCATTTAACCTCTCATTAAGAGAGAGAGAGAGAGAGAGAGAGAGGGAGAGAGAGAGGGAGAGAGGGAGAAGCGAAAAAATTTGATATAACCTTGGTTACATTACATGTAATAATTATTATTCATTCATAAATAGTGAGAAATGCAATGATTAAATTTTCTTTTTAATATAAAAATTTGATTATAATTAAAATTACAATAAATTATCATAATTTTTATTATAATTTGAAAAAAAAATCAAATTATATTACTCAATCAATCATTTCATTAAAAATTTATAACTTTAGTAAAGTAATGAAATCAGATTATTTTGCAAAAAAAAAAAAAAAAGATATTTCAATATAATTTATTTTATGATATTATCATACCTAAATTAATTGTAATTTTATAGCGATAGTGATAACAACAGATGATAAAAGATGATAATAGTGATAATAACTGTATCAATTGCGCTGGAAATTTGAGGTTAATCTAAGATAATAATATAATTCATTGATTGATTAAGCTGATAAGATATTAATTTTGATTGAAAAGTTGAAAAAAATTTTTTTTTTGCATGCGATAATCAAAGAAAATAAAGTGTTTTAATTAAAATTTTAATTGAAAATAAGCACAGTATTAATTGAAAGTAAAAAAAAAAAAAAAAAAAGTTGCATTGATAAAATTTTAATAATATGTTTGTTTTATTAAAATTACTTCTTAAGACTTAAGTAATGGTATTATTATTTGATTTTACAGAAAGTTAAAAACCTTTTTTTTTTTTTTTTTTCTACAAACTTTTTCAATATTGACTTATTTATATCCGGTATTAGTGTAGATTTTTCCGGATAATGTTTATTTCTTAACTTAATGATTACATTTGGTCATTTAATTTTAGTCTAACTAACTAATAGTTTTATTTTATAAAATAATTTTTATAATATTTAAAATTCAAATGAATTATTTATAATTGAATCAATAATTTTGTTTTATTAAAGAATTTTTCTCTGATTTCATCAATAATTGCAATAATTAAACAATAATTAACTTACCTAAATCATTTTGCATCATTTTGTTTCATAGCAAATATTTGAAAAGGAATTGTTAACTGTCCGGTTCTTTCTACAATTTACTTTTTAGCTAAAGTAATGAAATTAGAAATTGTAAATTTGGCATAATTCAATAAGAAATAATCCTGTTTATATTTAAAGCAAATCCGGTTTTTCTTGATGCAAACATTATTGTAGGAAAGTTAATATCTTTTATAATATTTAATTGCCTTTTCTCTCTTCCTACTTAGATATATGTTTATACTATTTAATTTAATTATAGTTCATTGATTAAAAATTACTGAAAAATTAGAATTACTCAGTTTTTTTTTTTTTTTTTGCAACTTTCCACATAACATTATGGTTTTTAGCTTTACTAAAATTTCATTAATTAAATTTGCAAAGTGGCCAATAATAATTAATTTTTTCATCATCATTAAATCTGAATTTGAATTAAATTTTTAATCAAATTTGAAATGTAAGAAATACGCAATGTTAACACATTGCAAAATAAAATGAAATAATGGATAATAAAACTAATAAATATTTTGAATTGATGTAAAATAATAAGCACAGTAATGAAATTATAAAATAATATAAAAGACAAAAAAGAAAAAAACAAAATTAACTCTAAAACTTATTCTTAATTTGTAAAAAGTTTATAAAAATTGTCAAATTTGTTTTGCTATATTTGTAAATAAATTTATTTGTTATCATTTACAATAATTAAATTTTCTCAGTAAGTAAATTTAATAAAAATTAAAATTAATATTAATATTAACAAATTGCTAATATTCAATTTTTTTTTTAGCAATAAAAAATCAGAATTCAATTTTTTTCCATTTTTCTTCAGTAATTGAATCAGAATTTCCATATGTCTTGTAAAAAGCTATCGAATACTTTTGTCATCAATATTCTATGACAAATAATTTTGTAGAAATTTTAACATTTTTTAATTGGTGTGAAAAAAAAAAAATCTTTTTTCATTTCTATTTTTATTTATTTGTTAAGATAATATTGAAAATTAAATAAATAAAATGTAATCGATATAGTGTGAAAATAAAAATAAAATTATTAAAAGGATGGTTTTTCAGTAAAATTATAAACTTTTTGAATAAATATTTAAAAGTTTAAAAGTTAATAAATATTCAATTTTAAACTATTTAAATTCAAAATTATTTTTTTTTTCTTTTACATTTATTATCAAAATTTAAACTCGAATGCATTACATATTATTAGTTTTTTTTTTAGACAAACATTTGAAACATATTTGAAATTTAATTAAATTTCCTAAGACAATTGCTTGAAATATAATTTTAGTGATAAAATTTATCATTTATTCATTTTGAAATACTAACAATATTCAGTGATAATTACTGTTTCATTTAATTAATTTCAATATTTTTTTAAACAGACATTTAATTTAAAATAAAAATTAAAATTAATAAAACTGCAACTTAAGAGTTTCCGACAGAAATATATAATTTTTTGTGTCTTACCTAAATTACAATTCCCTTTTTATTGTTTTATTCCTTTCGTTAAATTTTTCAAAAATTAAAAAAATGGAATTTAAAATCAAAAGTGAAATTAAATCAATAATTTAAAAAAAAGAAGAAAGAAATGAAAACGAAGAAAAATGAATAAATTTATGAATTTACCTTGACCTTACAAAAATATTTTCATCATCATTTTTCATTTTTTTTTTCATATTCGTTCGGTTAACAAAAAAATTTACTTGTTGAAATCGAAAATGATTATTCGAAATTGAAAATATAATTTAATTAACTTTTTCAGCTTTAGGAATGTTTTTTTTTTTAACTAACTGATTTGAAACTGAAAACATAGCTAATGAATAATTAATTCATTTCGAATTAGAAATATATTAAACCATTCTATTTAGATTAAAAAATTTTAATCCATTTTTTTCATCCATAAAAGTTTATCCAAAAGTAAAGGCAAACTTTCTCGTTGTTATTTAGTTTAATTAAAATGAAAAAAAAAATATATAAAAATTATATTCGAATTTGAAGTTCAAAAAAATAAACAATAAAACATATAAATTATAGTAAGAATACTTTTGAAATTTTTTTTGTCCTTTTATTATATCATTCAAAAAGTATGAAAAAAAATTAATTTTTCTTTTTGATTTGTTTTTTTTTTTCAAAATTTGAGTTTTATTATTTTTAAAAAATAAAGAAAGAGAGAGAGAGAGAGAGAATGAGTAAAGAAGATAAACAATTCTATAAAAAATTATTTTATTTTCAAATCCACAACATTGGACTTTACAAATTTGTAAATCATTCCATCATTTTTTTTTTCATTTTTTTAAATAAAAAAAATTATTTCTTACTGAAAACAGAAATTTTATTTTACAATTTAAAAAAAAGAAGAAACTATTTCGATAATAAAAATAAATTAAATTTTTCTTAAAAAATTTCTGGTTTAAGTATAAAAAATAATCGTTGACAAAAATTTGTATAAAAGAAATAATACATTTAATTATTTCAATTTAATTCATCGATTATAGTAGGTAAGAAAAAGAGGAAAATTTTTACAAATTATCAAATAACTTAAACTTTTATTTTTGATCATTCGTAATGCATCGTTAAATTTTGATTAAATAAATTTGAATGAATTATTAAAATCGTTTTTTTCCTTTTTTATTCTCAGAAACGCTTTTCTTCCCTTCTCTCCTTGCAAATTTTGTTTATTTAATGCAAATTTACACTTGAAATTATGAATATTATTAATTTTTGAAACTTTAAAAACTTCATAATTACTGCTATTATTAATTTCTGATTCATAAATTCATTTCCACAATTTTTAATCTATCCTTTTGTGATCAGTATAAATTAAAATAATAATACTAAAGATAAAAATTCTAAGTTATAATTATCAAATCTCATTTCTTTTTTAATTTTAATTTAAATAACAAACATTGATCCTATAAATTTACACATCATTTCATTGAGATTTCTTTTCTTTTCCTTTTTTTTTTAAACAAATTTACATCAAATTTAAAATGGTGTCAATTTTATAAAATGATAGAATCGAAAAAAAGTGGTACGAATTAAATTACAACATTTCATTCTTAAGTTAAAAATTGTATGATGCATAAAGTGAAAAAAAAAATACATCGAAAATTGAATTTGGTACATAAATGTATGTATATATATATATATTTTCTCTCGTTATTTGAGTATATCAGTACACAATTTCCTATTTAATTATTGATTAATATACAATACCTAGTTTTTGATCTAATTGTTCACTTTTTGTTATAATGATGAGAATTTCTCTTTTTTGAAATCCTCATATAATTAATCAAATAATAGTAATTAAATAAAATTATTATTGAATGAGTACATCACCTGTCATAGCTCATTTGAATTGTTAATTAACATTTCTCATAAATCTTAATTATATATCATTCATTTCGAATTATAATTAAACATAACTCTATGAAATTATACAGTCTTTCTGATTTGAAAAAAAAAAAAAAACTGCATATTATAATTTGATTAGTATATTTGAAATTTAAAAAAAAATATATATAAGAAATTGAAATGAGTACATAAGTATATGTATTTGTGTTCTCTTATTTATTGGATATACAAATATGCAAAATTCTTTATCTTATTGACAATAATAGCCATTTGTGATTATTCAGTGAAATTCATTTAATAAATTTTATATTTTACTAAAAAACACAAATTAAGAAATCTCAAAAGTGAAAGAAGAAAAAATTATATTTTTAAAATAATCAATTTTGCTAAAAATTATTAGTATAACTTTCATTATCAAATGCTAATATTAAATTTTTGCATTAAAACAATTAAAGTAAATCATTCGCTATTTGAAGGTAATATTAAAATAAATTTATTTATTTTTGTTAGTTATTAATTAGATTATTTACATAACAATTAATTTATTTAATTGTTACAAATAATTTTTTATGATTAAAATTCTTTTACATTTCAATTTTATTTTTATACTTTCCCATCAAGCATCACATCCATTTTCTATTTATTAGTTTATTTACATAAATTCAATTTCATCTATACAAATGACCTTGTGTAATTAATTCATCGGTCAGAAAACCGTTGAAATATGAAAATTAGCATTTAATTTCTTCATAACAATTTCAACCTTGAAAATTAATCATTAAAGAAATTTTTTTTTTCTATTCCTTAAATTATTCATAAAAATTTTATGCACAAGCATGAAAATCTATGCATAAAAAAAAATCTAAAAAAATTACTGACTAAAAAAATTTATTGGTCAAAAAAATATTTAATTATTAATTATTATTAGATCAATTCTTATTTACTAATTTATTTTTTTTCATTTATTTGTTTGTTAACTAAAAATACAAAAAAAGCTTTTTTTTTTCTTATACTTAAATCTAATAATTAAAAAAATATGAATTAGTAGGAATAGAAGCAATTGAAAGTAACTCAACAATGATAATAATTAAATTAAAAATATAAATGATAAATGGATCACTTTTCAAAAAAAAAAAAAAAGATCAAAATCAAAAGTTAAATCTGAATTAATTAACTTTAACCGAGTTTTAACTATAAATTTCGTTCTTCTGTTTAATCTAACAAATATGTATGAATTTTTGAGTAATAATTTAAATAAATGCCATTCGATGATCATTTAATTATTATCAATGTTTTGGCGCTATGTATGCCGAAAAGTTGTATTTCAGTTATTACTTAGTTAGGTTTGAATCAATGAAATTTTTGGAATTTGTAATCTAAAAATAATTATACAGCTAATAGATTAAATAGTTTAAAAATATACTTTAAAAAATCTTCCAGCATATTAATATAATGAATAAAAATTACATTCATAAATGATTAGTTTATAAAAAAATTTATAAAAAAGATTTTTATTTGCTGATGAATTCACTAACAAATTTGATGCTTAATTTTAAACAAAAAAGGAAAAGATTTATTGTAAACAATGAATGAAGTGATTTAAAAAATTTGATAGAAATTAAAAATTTCAATTTTTGAATTAAATTAAAAATATTAATTAAAATTTAAAATTATTCCTATTAATATATATTTGCATATTTCGATCAAAAGGAATATAATTTTAATCATTTCATCAATCTTTTGCCAATGAATTTGAAATTTATTTTTTAAAAAAGAAATTCATTTTTCTTTTAGAATGTCTTCCATGGCAATTTGATTGTCATTTTGGTATTCCACGATGCATTTCACAGTTCAAAGTTAACGATGGTGCAATCGATTGCATTTCTGGATTCGATGAAGGTTTCATTTTATTAAAATTTCTAAATTATAATATAAAACTAAAAATTAAAGAAAAAAAAAAAACAATTTTTTTTTTTTAATAGAAAATTAAATTTTTAAATATAGACGTTCGTATTATAGTTATAACTTCAAAATATCAATAATAACTTTACTGTTATAATAATAATACTTATATAATAATAGAAAAGAAATGAAAAAAATTCCAAATGTTCATTAAATTGTCGTATCATTGTTATTTGAAATTCTTTTTCGCAAAAAAATTAATTTTTATTTTAAAATATCTTCCAGTGGTGCAATAATTTTAATTTGAGTGTTTGAATTGTGAATTGAAATTGAAAATATATTTATAAACTGTGCTAATATAAACAATTTTTAAATGCTTGGATAATTTATTAGCTTATAAGAAAGGATATAATTGCAGTGGAAAATAAGCAAACAATTAGTTTTTAATGACCTTTAACCTTTATTTGATGACATTTAGTTTATAATATTACCTAGAAATGCATATAAGAATGGCTATCAAAATTGAAAATGTTTCGAATATTGCAAAGAAAGTTAATTAACAAAGAAAGTTAATTAGACAAGGAATTTATAAAGATAAAGAACCTTTCAGCAATTTAAATATTAAATTTGACTATCAGATTGAAAAATTTTATAACGTATAAAAAGCAATGCACATATATATTTAGGTAGAAATGAAAGGTAAATGTTGGGTAAATATATTTAAAAAAAAAAACAATAATAATAAAATTTAGGAAAAGCAAACATTTCTATAAAATTAAAAAAAAAAAAAATCATAAATATTTTGGATAAATGATTAATTGATTTAAGAAATAAAATTGAAATTGCTTTTTATATTTGTATAAACGAATATTTCTGTATGATATTTTTTAGCTTAAAAATTTCTGCCATATGATTTTAAAATAAAATTATTTTGGCAGATTACACTTTTCTTTTTTTTTTTTATTTATTTTTGGTTTTTCATCATAACTTAAAAACTGATAAAAAATTATATAAATTCCTAATGCATAGTACTTATCATTTACTATCAATTAATTAATCATCAATTGATTGATTAGTATTTTTGAAATAAAAAATTTTTAGTTCTGTAAATAATTTTTTTTTCTTAAATTATATCAAAAATAAAATTTTTCTTAAATCATATCAAAATTAAAAATTTTCTTAAATTATATCAAAATTAAAATTTTTTTTTCCTAAAATTTTTTTTAAATTGTTATCAAAATTATATCAACTATAAGAGTTTGATAATTATTTTAGGTTGTCCACCACATAATTTCGTTTGTGCTGATAAAAGCGCATGCATTGATTTTTCAAAATATCAGGATGGTATAGCACATTGTAAGGACAAATCGGATGAACGTATGTTTCATATTTCAAATTTTCATATAAATTATATAAAATTAATTTTTTCAAATTTTAATTTATTAAAATTCGCAAAAAAAAAAATTGTTAATTGAAAACTAAAATGATGATAATATGTATATAAAGTATATCAATAATATATAAATAATATAAGTAATCAAATACTAGTTGTAAAATTTAACTCCAATAACTTTACTGGTAAAATATGAAATTAGTTTATTTAAAATTGAAAATAAAAACTATGATTTATCATAAAAGAAGAAAAACATCGATTAATAATAATTTGCATATTTGAATTTCTATTTTTTTTATTAACTTTACTGGTAAAATATGAAATTAGTTTATTTAAAATTGAAAATAAAAACTATGATTTATTATAAAAGAAAAAAAAAAAAAAAAAAAAAAAAAAAAAAAAAAAAAAAAAAAAAAAAAAAAAAACATCGATTAATAATAATTTGCATATTTGAATTTCTAATTTTTTTTTTTTTTTTTTTTGTTGAATCTATTTATTTAATTGTTTGTTTCTCTTTTCTCTTCCATCTAAAATATATTTATAATTAATATTTAATTTATAATTATTTTTAGCATGTCCAGCTGGTGATTTTTTATGCAACGATCATTCGCAGTGTATTGATGGAAAACGTTTTCAGGATGGCTTTTCTGATTGTAAAGATGGTTCAGATGAAGGTTTATCATTTTTTTTTTTTTATCTTTTCAAAAAAAATTTTCTTTTTTTTTTTTTCTCTTTCATTTCAAAGATTTGTTTTTTTTTTTTTTTTTTCTTTGCTTTTCCCTCCTTTTCTTTCTTTTTTTTTTCTCTTTTTAAAATAAAATTTCGAATGTTTCTTTTGTCCAATTTATATTCCTTATCGGAATTTTTTTCTTATGATCGGTACACTTTTTTCTTTTGTGATTTTTTTCTTTCTTTCTTTCTTTTTTTTTACGATTTTATTCCTTTCTCTTTCTTCATTGAATCAAGGACATTAACAGGTGGAATAGTATTACCGAGGTTTTTAGATAAGGTTGAATTGTTTATAAAAGATTTTGAAGGACGTTTGATACTTTCTCCTCCTCTGTAATTTTTTTTCTTTTTCTTTGTCTCTCTTCTCTTCTTCTTTACCTCTCCTTTCTATTAAATCAAATCTGTTAAATTTGAAATGAAATGAAAGCTTCATGAATGATTGCATAAAATATCCTGAAAGAAACAAAGAAAAAAAAAAAAAGAAGGTTTTTTTTTTTTTGTAAATACCGAATTTGGATTAACATAAAGGCAAATACAATTCAAACATTTTACAAAATAAATTTTAAAAGAAATGAAATGGATTTTCAAATAAATATTTTTAAAAAAAAGAACAAACTTTTCTCATTTTCGTAATAATCCATTTTATTTAATAGTTGATAATTGATAATGTTAAATGATATGAATATAAAACTGAAAATAATCATACAAATATATTTGTAAATAACAAATGTTCATTCTAAATATCTCTAAAAAAATTATTTTCTTTAATTATCAAATTTATTGTATAATTTTCCCTCAAAAATTTTCCAAATTTAATTCATTAAATTCAAAAAAAAAAAAAAAAAGAAGGGAAGAAAAAAAATTGCCCAAATCATTTTATTATTGTTATGTAAACTTAATAAACTAGAAAATATAAGACAAAAAAAAAAAAAAAAAAAAAGGTTGAATAGTAAATTTTAAATTTTTATTCATTTAATTTTTTTAAAAACTTTTTTTTTTTCAGAATGTACAGTTACTCAATTTGAATGTAGTTGTGGATCAATTCGATGCATAGATGCTGAAATGCTAAAAGATGGTAAAAAAGATTGCGAAGATGGCTCCGATGAAATTGGCCCATCAGCGCAAAAGTTTTGCGCAAATGGTAAATTAGTTCGACAAAATAGAGCTAAAAATCGTACCGTACAATATCCAACATATAGCGCAATTGCAAAATGTCCTGATCCATCGATTTGTAATGATCAATTGGGAGAAATATGCATTGTAAGTAATTTTAATGTTTTATTTTCTCTAAAAAAAAAAAAAAAAATAAAAACAAAAAATTTAATTTTAGTTACAGAATTTAATTTCTTATCAAAAAAAGTCATTGTATTATTTTAATATCTATCAATGTTATTTATTTTTGATTAAAATTATAGTTAATAATATTAATTATTGATTGATTTGAAAAGATTTTTTCTTTTGTTTCATATATTTTGTGAATTTTAATGAAATTTCAGATGGTTGGTGGTGCAACACATTGTGTTTGTAAAAAAGGAACCATTCGACCGCAAGGTTCACCGCGGTGTGTATTGGAACCTTTACTTCAACAATACCTTAATAATATTATTGGTAATTGCACCGAAATTCAGAAAGATTTAATCGAAGTTTATGGCGAGAAAATAAGCTTTTCAAATGATTCACCTCGTCTAACTTATGCTCGTAAAGAAACGGAATGTAATCCAAAGTCAAAAATACCATGCAAAGGTTAAATTTTTGAAATTTAGAAAAAAAAAAATGAGCATATCAATTAGTAATCACTAATTAAATTAGTCAATAATTTCTAAATTTGACTTAATTTATTGTAAGAATTCAAATTTAAATCAAAAATGATTAACAATTAAAATTTTTCCAAATTAAAATTATTTCATCATTTAAATATTTTGTTTCCTGCGAGTCAAATTTTAATTTGTTTAAATTAAATTTATTTTTCAATTTGAATAATTTGAATAGAAATTAAAATTAAAGCTAAATTATTTTTTATTTAGGTTATGGTGAGATATGTCTGCCAGATTTATCTGGTCGTCATCGTTGCACATGCGCAAACAATGGTACTCGTATGGATAGCATTTGCTTAGGTAAATTTTAAGGATTAAATTTTAAATTAAAATTTTAACAATGCTAAATTAATCGATCAGATAAGAGTAGATAAATGATTTTTTAGGTTTGTTTTATATGCATAAGAAAATAATAAAAGTTTCGAACAGAATGAAATACAAATGTCAAATAAGTAATTAAATAAAAGGAACTCAAATAATTAATTCTAATTTAGTAAATGAGTGTATGAGCCCAGAATTAAATGATTGCGATCCAAATGCATCCTGCATGGATAGCATACTATCATATGAATGTTTCTGCAACGAAGGATTCATCGATACTTCAATTTCACCAAAAACACGACCTGGCATTAAATGCGCAAAATGTTTGTTTACAATTTTGTTTATTCATTATTATTAATTTCAATTGCTTAATTTTTAGTTTCAAATTTTTTGAGATAATCTAAACTAATTATTAACTTTTAATAATCACTTAATTTTAATGCAGGCAACATTTGCAGTTTCAAAAATAGACCGATTATAATAAAAGATTTGATAAGAATTTAAGCTAATGTTATGAGCTATGTGATAAGAAATAATTTGAAATTAATTTATTTAAATTTCTTATCTTCCGAATAAACGATAAAATTTTTCATTTTAATTCCATACACAATTTGAAAAAATGTTAATATTTTCACTAATTTCATTAGGTCAACTTATTCCTGTTCTCTTTTGTTAATTTAATTTAATCGTTTCTGGTGATAATTCAAATGTTGTGTGATTAATCGAGAACATGCACACAAATTTAAAAGAAAAAAATTTATCAGAGATAATTAGACCATGAAGAATTAGTTTTCTTGAATTCTTCTCAAACCAGAAATAAAATATAATATTTTATTTTATTTTTTCAAAATTTCATATCCAAAACTAATTAATAATTGCTCGATTCTTTTTTTTTTTTCTGTTGCATGAAAATTTAGACATTCTATACGTTTTGATTTTATTTGTTTTAAAATAAAATTTTCAAAATGATAGTATATTACAAGCAAAAGAGGAATGATTATTAAAAAAATTAATCGAGATAATATTTAAAATCATAAATATATGGGAGTGAAATTTTAAATTAAAAATTTTATTGGATGCAGTGGTGGATGAATGTGCATCAAAAGCTGCAAATCAATGTGATGAAAATGCGGATTGTATTGATAAGCCGATCGGTTACACATGTCGTTGTCGTAATGGCTACGTTGATATTTCGGAAGGTGGCGCAAGAAATCCGGGGCGGAAATGTCATAAATGTATGCAGTTAATTACTTTTGTTTTCAATTTAATTATCATGATCTAATTTTAATTTCGATCCTTTATTGTTATTATTATTATTATTACTAATAAATTGAGATGTGCAGATATACTGTTAGAAATTTGTTTACAAATAATAATTTATTAAAAAGAAATCAATTGAAATTAAATATTAATACATGGTTGATAGAATAACTATGGAAAAATATTTTTCTTTTTGGTTAATTAATTATTTTTTTTAGTTTTAATTCTGCTAAAATTAATGATAATACTAATTCTATAAGAAACATTACAGAATTTCCATCTGTAATTTAATAATGACATAGTTTATTAATTGCTATAAATATATTGTTTCATTCATCCAATAGAATTTCAATTTAAGCTGCATAAATATATAAATATTTGATTAAAATAAATAGTATCAATAATGAAATAATAGAAATAATAAACAATAATAATAATAAATTAACTATTTTCAAAGAAATAGCATCTAATGATGAGCAATTTTTTATTTTTATTTTTTTTTAAAAAGCAATTTTTAGAAAATTTATAATTTTTTTTATCGATTTTTTTTTAGAAAAACAATTGTTAGTTTGTTTTTTTATAAGCTTTTTCTTATCTTCATGTTTTGAAATTTGAAATAAGCATGTATAAGCAGCAGCAAATAGAAATTGTTTTTATTTACTAATCACTGATAATGATTTATAAATTCATTCGTTGCAACATATTCAAATCTATGACCTTCAAATAACCGCTGATATTATCAGTCACTGTCCATTTATATTTGTCATGCAAATTAATAATAGTAATTAGAATTTATGATGTGCTAAAAAAAAAAAAGAAAAAAAAAAAACTTTTTCATTCAATAACATAAAACATTTTTGATCTTTTTATTATCACCGAAAATTTTTGGGAAAAAAAAAATTATTTTTTGTCCATTTTTTTCTTTTTTGTTTTTAAACGAATTAAAAATTTTTTTAGTAATGGATGAATGTCAAATGGGTTTAGCTGATTGTGATCCAAAAGCAATTTGCATAGATATGACATACAGTTATACATGCAAATGTCCACATGGTTTTGCAGACAAGTCAGCAGATCCGATTAATAAGCCTGGTCGAATTTGTTCCAAATGTGAGCTTCTCTTGGCTTATTAGTTTTATTTGATAAAGAAAAAAATTAAATACTTTGCAGTTTAAATTAGATCTATATTAATAGTCAGTACTAGGAACTATTTCTTTCTGAAAATTTTGAAATGCTAAATTATAAAAGCTCAATTTATGAGTTTGTTTGCGTTAGCAGTTATTTGCTGATTGTAACAACAAAAGTATGATTTTTCTGGAAATAATGAGAAAGATAGCTAAGAACTGACCTATTTTAGATGATATACTATTATTATTTATTTAGCCCATTGGAATTGTTAGTGTTAGAAAAAGAGAAATCGGATAAGATTGACCGAATGATCTTTTGATTTATTCAATTTATGTTTTTTTTTTTTTCTTTTTTTTTGGTTAGTGATCAATTCATGTGATTCACCGAACTTTACGGGATGTCAATCGAAAGAATCGAAATGTATTGGTACAAAAGATGGTTTCGTATGCCGTTGCATCGATGGCTATATCGATCTAAATCCGGCAAATCCGGGAACAAATTGTTCTAAAGCAGGTATGATATTGGTACTTCTTCTTTAAGTTCCGAATCAATGTGATACTTCTTTTTTTAGTTCCTTATTCTTACCTGAGCAAAAAGAAAATGAAAAACAAAAAAGTATTCAATCATAATGACAATTTAAATTCCTTAAATTAAATAACACGAAAGACTATTGTATCATACAGTATTCTTTCGTGTGTCGCATATAGTAATCCGAATAATTATACCGTAATCCGGATGACATTGATATTATTCTATGCAGTGGAGATTTCTTTCTTTCTGATGTTCTTCCTGATTTTGTTTCAAATTTTGTTGAACTGAAATGACAAAAAATATTTGTAAATATTAAATAACAGAAAGTAAATGAAGAGTGATTTGAAAAAAAAAAAAAAAAAAAGAAAAGAAAGGAGAGAAAGAGGAAGAAGATAAAAGAAAAAGTTAAAATAGAGGAAAAATAAAGAGAAGATGGAGAATGAGAAGAGAAATATTTCTGGAATAAATTGAATATTTGTTTACATATCGATGCATTCTTTCATATAGAGCAGAAAATGGAATAGCAAATCATGGGTATAGTATGGGTAATTGTGGTGGTTAATGATGATTTGCTGTTACCTTTTAATGTTCAAAATAAAATTCTATCGGTATCTTTGATAATGAAAGATGAAGAAAAGAGAAGAAAGGAATAGATGAGATAGATAGAATTAGGAAAATTTAGTGGTAGAACAACGATACATGCATGCGTACATTTGAAAGGTCAACGAAATGGCCGGCCGATTCATTTAGTCCGTTCATCCATCTGTAACCGCGATTGATAGCATATGCATTAAAGGTCGAGAGTTGGACATAATTGAAGAGAAGGTTGAAATTATAATTAGTGGAAAGGTGGGAAAGATAAGAGAACAGTGTAGAGGTGGGGTATGCGGGTTTAGATCGATGACTCTACAGCAGATATGAAAGGCGGGGGGAAGATGGAAGAGGAGGGAAGAAGGGGGGGGGGGGAAAAGGGTAATTTTTAGGGTGGTCTCTGTCTTCGGCGACCATTTCTGTTGTTACCTTTGCCGATCAAAGAAGGGTTTTGAACCAGACGAAATTCGGGCAATAGTTTTATAACAACACTATAACGGTGGTAGCTTTGGTTTTGTTTGGACCGGAAGAATTATTTCGCTGTAACGGATTTGAATCGAAGAAAACCAGAATTTGAGCGAAATTATAACGGAATCATATATACGAAGCAATAATTCAACAGATATATTATTCTCTACTATTCACTAATTACTTACTAATTGATTCAATATTTTAATTCACTACTTTCTATCCTTCAACTTTCTTTCTTCCAATAATAATAATTATAATAGTAAAAAAAAAAATACAAACAAATTTTTTTAATAAAATTAATTTTTATTTTGCAATCATTTCAATTGAATTCTGAATTGTTCAATTTAAATACTATTCCTGAAAGAATAATAATTGTCCCTGCTAAATGCAGCTGTTGCTTGTAGCAACGCTAGCTGTTATTGCAGTACCTGAATTAATTTTAATTAATGCTATAGGTGAGTTATTCATTCATTTTTTTTTTTTACTTTATCACTTTTAAATAACTATATATTTAAATTTATTAGAAAATTAAGAAAATAATTGAATGAGTTCTAATCTCTATAGATCATTTTAAATACAGCATCGATTTAAATCAATAATTAAAGATTAATTACTTAATAATTACGTATGAATTAAAATTAATTATGATATTTTAAGTTGGAATAACGATGTTAAAAGTATGTTGTTGCTCAGTTATTATAATACATTAAGCAATATGTGAATGCAATAAGAAAATGCATGAAAGTTTATTATTATTATTGTTGATATTAATATTATCCCAGAAATTAGTATTATTTCATTTGATTCCTCCGGAAAACTGTTACCGGATGCCTGAAAATCGGGTTAAAAATTCGATTAGTTATGAAATAAATATATGATTAGAAATGTTTGATTCTTAGCATCAAATCAAACAATTATCATCATAGTATATCCTTTAATTTGACATATTATGTAAGAATTACTTCGTAAATTCTATACATATGAAGTGATTAAATAGTAAACAAGAAAATATAGGTTGATTAAATCGATGAATAGTTTACATTACTTTGTTATTTCTCTCTCATTTTTTAAAAAAAAAAAAAAAAATTATTTAAATTTCTAATTTTTTGGTTGTATTAACAATATTAGTTCTATTTGCATAATTTAAGATTTAAATCTTTTAATCAAAGAATGTAACAATGTGTTTTGGTTGAAATAACTTATGAATAACAATGTGTAATCGCACTAACAATGTCCTGAATTTTTCAATTTTCATGAGTTTAATAATGATGAATAGAAAGAGATAAGAAAACTACATTTTCTAATCCATTTCTGAATCATTGACGATAATAATTTTGCATGAAAATTTAAATTTCAAGCTTTTTGTAAGTTAGAAAGATTGGAAAATGAAAATGTATAGTTTGATGAAAGAAGAAAAAAATAAATTTCCAAATTAAAAAATTTTATTTTTTCCCCAAATTAAAGCTTTCGTTTTTTTGAAAAATTTTAAACCCTTATGTTTAGTCAGAAATTTTTGAAAAAAAAAAAAACATTTGTAATTTTTCTATTTGAAAAATTGAAAATTTCCGTACTGTTTTTTTTTTAACAAAAAAAAAAAAAAAATATAATTTTGCTGTTTTAAAAAATTAAATGTTAAATTTGTTTATGGAAAATTTTGTCAAATTAACAAAACGAGGAAAAGAAAATCAAATTATAAGGACTAGAAAGTACTTTTATTGACTAAATTTGCTAATTAAAAAAACTTTTTTTTTTCTTGAACTATTTTTAATTTCTTAAAATTTTTAATAATTTCAATTTAAACATTTTTTTTTTGGCATTATTCATTGTTTTTATTCAATTCTTGTTTATTTGCTTTTCTTTTCTTTCAGCTTTTCTCTCTCTTTCTTCCTTCTACCTTTTCCTTTTTAAATTTTACCTTTTCTTTTCAATTTGAAATAATTTAAATTATTGAAATGATTTAAATTATTGTACATACATTTAAGGAAAAGAGAAAAAGAAACAAGTATACCTTAAGGCTATAATATATAAAATTGATGAGGAAAAGAGACATACACAAAAGAAAAATCAAAATTGAAAACATAAAAAATACAAACAATAATTTGCTCCAAATTTTTTTCTTCCACACTCTAACAAGCGTATATAATATAATCCAGTTTATGAACAAATGAAATAAAATTTAAAAAAAAAAAAGAAAACGAAATTTTTCTTTCTTTCTTTCTTTCTCTCTTCCTTTGCTTCATTCTCTTCACGTATTGCACGCATGCGCTATATACTTTTTTTACTTTTCTTCTCTATCATGCGTACATTTTATTCTATTTTTCATGTATATGCATGCATATCTTTTATCATTCCTTTTTTTCTTTGTAAGGATAGAATGTGAGGAAGAAAAAAAAATGAAATAATCAAAAGTTTATAAATAAATTTGTTCGTAATTAATTAATTAATTATTATTATTATTTTCGTTGTTATAATTATTCATATTAAAATGAGAAGAAAAAGCTATGCTTATATCGTTATCATTGCTATATCATTATCAGTAATATAATATTGTTATCTTTGTTATTATCATCTAGTATAATATTTGTTATTGTTATTTATTATTATTATTATTATTGTTATTCTGTTTGTTAGTTGGCTAAGGTTAAAATTTAATTGATGGAATTTTAAAAATTTTTTAATAATATCGATGAAATGACCTAGAAAAAAAATTAATGAAAAAAAGATTTATGCCAGAATTATGAATGGAAACAAAATTTACAAAATTCTAATATATTATGATGAAGTGAAATTGATTAATATATTATCATAACATTCATATTATTAAATTATTATTTAATTAATTTTTTTTTTAAAACAGTACTAATCTATTCAATTGTTTATGAGAGTATAACATAATTATAACAGAATCACATCTAATTTTAATAAAATAATTTTAAATGACTGATAGAATAAGATGGCATATTTTAAAGTAGTATGTTTAGAAATGTAAAATGAAATTAATTCTAATAAAAATACGATTTGTAGCTTATTTAAATTTTAAAATTTTAATGTATTCTACAAAAGGAGGGCTTACTTTTGTTAAATATTGAGGTAGTTTCATTGAATTAAATTATTTAAAATTAGGATTTCAGATTAAATTAAATGCATAGCTGAAAGCTAAGCGCTAAAATCATAAATTGTAAATTGAATATAAAAAATCTGAAATCATTATTGATTTAATGCGTATTTCTAATTTAAAATTAATTCCCTTGATAGCTGAAAACTATTTCTTGAAGTTCAAATTATTTTAATGAGTTAATTTTTGAATTAAAATGAAAATATTATATACATATGTATTTTTAGTATCGGATCCGTGTCAGGATGATTCATTACATGATTGTGATCCGGTAGCAGAATGTTACAGCGAACAACCGGGTTATTTTCAGTGCCGTTGTCCGAATGGTTTTGCTGATGTCTCAACCGATCAACGTTTTCCTGGAAGGAAATGCAAAAAAAGTTAGTCATCAAATGAGCTTTAAAATTGTAAATTTTTTTAATTTTAAATTTAAAAAATTTGAACAAAAGCAGAAATTAGCAATTTAATATATTCCGTGAAAAAAAATTTTTTTTTTTTTTAACTTAAATATTTTGTCTTTTGATCTATTAAATTTATAACTTAAAAATATTTTGTCCAAATTTCTGCTAATATTGATAAAAGTCATTAAATTAACATTTGTTTACTTGGCTTGATAAAAGGTGAATTGATAAAAGATAACATAACTTATGATTTATATGTAATTTGATCTAATAATGCTAAAAGAATTGTTAATATGATGATTCTTTAATTAGATTTACAATAATCAATAAACTAACTGAAAAATTTAAAGGAAAAAAACAAACAAACAAACAAGTTTTCTTTTTTTTTTTCATTTAAATTAAATGAAATTAAAGTTTCTAAGAAAGAGAAAGTAGTGTAAATATTTTTAAAATGAATTCATAATAAAATGAATGTGAATAAAATGTATATCATTTATTTGTAGAAAGTGAAAAATGTTTCTTTGTCAAATGTGAAGGAAACAAAAATGTTTTTTCTTTTTTCTTTTAATTTAAATTAATGAAATAAAAAGTTATTAATGAATGATTGGATAGTTTCAAAGAAAAAAGAAAAAAGAAAAAGGAAAAAGGGAAGAAAATAATTTAAATATGAATATTTGAATATAAAAAGCGCATGTATTATGAAAAATTTTTCATTTTTCAAAATTTTGAAACTTTTATTATTATTTATTATTATTATTATTACTATTATTATTCGTCAAATTATGATGCAATTTTGATGGCTTTTGAATGAGAATTTTGATAATAATAAATTCTTTTGACATCATAAAATGTTCCAATTTTAACCAAAGAAAGATGATTACGGGGATGAGAAAGGCAAAAGAAAAGTATGAATGAGCATTTTAAGATTCGCTGTTTCCGTAAAAGTAGTAACAATTGACATTTTAAGGGAATCGTAATTAATAATATTAGTAATAATTATTAGTGATAATAATAATAGTAATAATAATAAATGATAATAATTGTGATAGCGATGATGATAAGGATTAAGGAATCGTAATTAATAATAATAGTAATAATTATTAATGATAATAATAATAGTAATAATAATAAATGATAATAATTGTGATAGCGATGATGATAAGGATTAAGGGAATCGTAATTAATAATAATAGTAATAATTATTAATAATAATAATAATAAATGATAAATAATTGTGATAGCGATGATGATAAGGATTAAGGGAATCGTAATTAATAATAATAGTAATAATTATTAAATAATAATAATAATAAATGATAATAATTGTGATAGCGATGATGATAAGGATTAAGGAATCGTAATTAATAATAATAGTAATAATTATTAATAATAAATAATAATAAATGATAATAATTGTGATAGCGATGATGATAAGGATTAAGGGAATCGTAATTAATAATAATAGTAATAATTATTAATAAAATAATAATAATAAATGATAATAATTGTGATAGCGATGATGATAAGGATTAAGGAATCGTAATTAATAATAATAGTAATAATTATTAATAATAAATAATAATAAATGATAATAATTGTGATAGCGATGATGATAAGGATTAAGGAATCGTAATTAATAATAATAGTAATAATTTAATTAATAAAAATAATAATAAATGATAATAATTGTGATAGCGATGATGATAAGGATTAAGGGAATCGTAATTAATAATAATAGTAATAATAATAATTGTGATAGCGATAATGATAAGGATAATGATGAGATTAATTTTAAATTGTTAAAGACAAAAAAGAGAGAGAGAAAGATTTACTTTTGTCATCATTATCATATTCATATATATCCATTTCGACATCTTATGATTGTCAAATAAATTGGACACATTTTGATTGTAACCGAAAAAAAAATTTGATAGTGTGTAAGAGGAAAGAAATTTATCAGTTCATTAAATTTAAATTTTATTAATTAAGATAAATTTACTTTGAAAAAAAAAAAACAAAATTATTTTAAACATATTATTGTAAAATGAACTTTTTTTTTTCACTTCTTTCTTTTCTTCTTTGCACTCTTTTTTTTTTTTCAATTCTTCTTATTCCATCAGAGAATTTATTTCAAAAAATTTTCAAAAAAAAAAAAAAAAAATTTAAAACAACAAAAAGAAAAAGAGAAGAAAAAGAAATGAAATGTCATATAATAATTATAAATTTTTTTTTTCTTTTATTTTGAAATGCAAAATGAAAATTTCATTTTCTTTTTATTTTTCAAACTTTGACAACGACAAAAATAAGAAATAAATAAAATAAATAAAAAAATAAATAAATAAATAATTAAAAGTAAATAATAATAAAAGGAAAAGGAAGCAGTGCTTTTTCTTTTGAAATTTTAAATATTTAAATTTAAGAAAAGAAAAAATATCAAATTTTTTTTTTCACTTTTGTGTGATAAAAAAATGTTTTTGGAAATTCCGAAAAGTTCAAAAAAATATTTGAGGTGATTATTTTTGTTGCAAATAATCATAATTATGGCTAATAATTGTGATTATTTTGCTTTAGATAGTGATAATTATGATTATTTCGTTTTAAATAGTGGCAATTATGACTATTGATTATGATTATTTTGTTCCAAATAGTGATAATTATGGCTAATAATTACATTATTTTTATTTTATTTGGTTTTTTTTTTTGTCGTCCTTTCTTTTCTTTTTTTTTTTACGACAAATTTTTGAATTCATTTGATTGTGGAATGTAAATTAATTTTTTCTAGGTCATCTTAGGGGTAAAATTGAGAAAAAGCGGAAGAATGTCAAATGAACATTCTTTTTTTTTGTTTAAATTAATTTTTGAATTCGATGTCTTTCTTACAGTCATTTACACATAAACGTAAAAATAATTGTTTATTTACAAAAGTACGTGAAAATATACAATAAAACTAAAATTAAATATCTAAAAATGCACAATCATTGTTTAATTAAATTGTTTTTGTTATTTCTTTCATTTCAAAAAAAGAAAAATACTAATTAAAAATTAAAAATTATCATTCACTGATAAGCTATTCATCAAATGTTTATAAACAATACTACAAGAAAGAAGTCAAATTTTAATTTTAATACTCATAAAAAGATGTTTAAAACAGTGAAAACAACTTTATATAAAAAAAAAAAAAAAAAATCATTCATATTGTTTATTGTAAAGCTTTTAAATTTAAATTCAATGATTTTTGTTAAATTTTATAATTTTAAATTGATTGATATTACCGTTAAATTTTGCAATTAAAATAAAATTTTAATTTAGTAATCAATGAATGTGTCCTTGGTACCCATGAATGTGATGAAAATGCAAAATGTGAGGACACTTTGGATGGTTACAATTGTCAATGTAAGCCAGGTTGGACTGATAATAGTCCAAATCAAGAAAATGCACCTGGGCGTAGTTGTAAGAAAGGTAGGTTTGAAATTGATTTGAAATTGATTTGTTAGTTTCAAATAGTAAATAAATCGAGAATTTTAGCAGATTAAATGGATAGAAATAAAATGTATCGAAATTAAACGCATTTTATTATTATTTTTCTTTTAACTTCTCAATGATTAATTTGAGAAAACTTTTTATTAAATTTAATAAATGAAAATTTGAAAAGGATTATTGATAATAAATATTTGAATATTAACCTTATTTCTAATAATTGAAGTAATATTTTAATTGATTAAAATTTATAAACTTTTGCTTGTTTATTTAATTTATTTAAATTATTAAAGTTTAGAGTTAAAAATATAAATTAGGCTTTTGTTTTTTCTTTTTTGCAGCAAATATATGTGCCAGTATTCAATGTGCCAAAGAAGCGGAATGTCGTGAAACTGAACTTGGACCAATTTGTGAATGTTTCTCGGGTTATGTTGACATTTCTCGACAACATGGCATGGCTGCAGGACATGTCTGTCGAAAGTTAGTAATGCATTAAATCATAATTATTCTAAAATAAAATTATACAGTACAAATTGCTATTTGATTTAAATGCTATTAATAGTATTTTAAAGACGAAACACAGTTGAATTATTATTATTATTATCCTAAATTCATTAATTTACTAATTCTAAAATTGTTTGAAAAAAAGAATCATTTGTTTATGTTTACTATTAAAATGAAATTCAATTTAGCATCATTTTAATTTGAATATTTGATTAATTAAAATTTGCTTAATTAAATTATCGTTTAGGTTTTAAATATAATTCTTTCAAGGGTAGTAAACGAATGCGCAACTGGTAAACATGATTGCTCATCTTCCGCAACCTGTATTGATACAGCTGATTTGTTTACCTGTCGATGTCGAGATGGATTTCGAGATGAAAGTCCAGATGTTGTAAATCGTCCTGGACGTGTTTGTGTTAGAGGTTTGAAATTTTAATTAGTAAATTTAAATTACTCTAATAGATATATTGCATTAACACTGATAAAAAATAATTTTCGTCTAATTTAAATTGACAGAAATATTTAATTAGTTGCACTAAATAAGTTTAATTAATTTAAAATGACAAAAAAAGTGACAAAATATGCCATTTTCATTTGTTATTTCAACTATGAAACAAAAAGAAATAAATATTAATGGAAGACAAAAAATTTTAAACTTTCTTAGAGATACAATAATTAAATAATAAAATTTAGGTTAAAAAGAAAAAGAAGTCGCAAAAAAAAAAGAAAGAGACAAGGAGAGAGTGAAAGGTGGAGAGAGAGAGAGAGAAAGAGGGAGAGAAAATGTATATACAAACTCGTTTTTATGAAAATCTTTTTTTTTTTTTTTTTTCTAGCATTTATTCCGGAACCACCGGAATGCGATGTTAATGATCCGATGAGTTGTGATGCAAAAAAGAAAGAAGTATGCTTATTTGTTAATGGTACATACAAATGTCAATGTGCAACCGGATATGATCGTTTACCGGATGGTCGATGTCTAGTAATTAATGAATGTGATGATCAACGTCTTAATGATTGCGCTTCAAATGCTGATTGCATTGATCAGGTAATTTATTAGTAATATTTGGAATAAAGAATTTAATTTTTGTAAATTACTTAAAATGCAGTTTTTTCTGCTTTCTCTTTTTTTTTTTTTTTTAAATATAAAAATTATTAATTATTATTATTATTTTTTTTTAAGTATTAAATTCTTGTTAAGTTAGCATTATTATAGGCTGATGGTTATACTTGTCAATGCAAAAGTGGTTTTGCGGATATATCGCCATCAGGTACACCAGGGCGCATTTGTCGTACACGTGTAAATGAATGCGCTGAACCACAGAAATATCATGTTGATTGTGATTCTAATGCTGTATGTGTTGATACAGATGAAGAGTATACATGCAGGTATATATATGTTAATTAAATTAAATTTGTATTTAAAATTTTTATTTTCAATTTATTTTAAATGATGAATGAATAAATTTATAGTAATACTAATAAAATATTTCTGTATGAATAATCTATTACTCATTAAATTATTCATTTTAGTTGTCGTCCTGGTTTTGCTGATATATCTAGTTCATTTGAACGTTTACCTGGTCGTCGTTGTGTTGAAGCAATAAATGAATGCTTGAATCCATCAATGAATGATTGTTCAGAGAATGCTATTTGTGAGGATGCTAAAGAAGGGTATAAATTTCTTGCAATCTTTTTAATTTATTTAATTTGAAAAAAAAAAATGAATAAATTAATTTATGTGTTTTTGTTTTCTTTTTTAAAGTTATTAATTAAGGCGGTAATATTAGATGGTTTTTAAGAAAGATAATATAACTATAGATTGCTTTTTTTTTTTTTCTAAGCTTTTAAAAGTTTTAATAAATTATGTGAATGTTTTCAAATGATGAATAAATTATAAAATTTTGAATTCAAAATTTTATCATTTCAGGTATATTTGTACATGTTTACAAGGTTTTGTTGATGCATCGCCCAATATTACCCATTATCCAGGTCGGGTATGTCATAAGCCTAAGCAAGAAAAACTTCATGACAATGGTACCACAAAAGGTTCCATAATTACATGCAATCCTGATAAACCAAAATGTGGTACCAATGAAGTATGCACTGATCGTAAAGCACGTGGAAAATTTGTTTGTGATTGCGCTGAAAATGCATTCAGATTTACGGATAATACATGTCGTTGTGAGTTATTATTATTGGTACTAAAATTATTTTTATACATTTTAATTTACTAATTTTAGGTAAATGGATAATAATGATAATATTAAGTTAGTAAAATTAATGAGTAATCAACTGTAACAATAAATATATGATGAAAAGTTATGATAACGTATAATTATTATTATCATTATTATGATAATATATGATTATTGTTATTATGATAATATATCAAATTACAAAATTATGCAATTATTCTCAATAAGTTAATATAAAAATCTTTTTTTTTTATATATTTTTTTTACCAAATTAATAATAGTTTTTAGCCATATGATTTCACGAAAACACAAAAATTTACCATCCTAATATGCCAATGAGTTGAAGTTCAGTGGAAATTATAATTATAATTGTTTTTCCGGAAAATGAATTATACCTTTTTTTTTTTTTTTTGATAATCCTAGAAAAGGGATTATTATTTTTACTATTAATTACTAATTTATTTAACTGCAAATTCGAGAAATTTGAATTTACCTACCTAAAATTACATTCTTCTTCCGTAGTTCATAATTGATTTTAATTTATTTTTTTAGTCTATGCTGCATGTATTGGTGTAAATGATTGCGATCAGAATGCAGTTTGTGCTAATGCATTTGATTCTTACATATGTCAATGTCGTCCTGGATTTATTGATATTTCACCGGATCCGGAAGGAAAGCCAGGCCGAATATGTAAAGAATGTAAGCGAACCTTTTTTTTTTTCCTTCCTCTCTTTCTCATTTTTATCGTTAAAATGCTATAAAAAATGAAAAATATTCAAAAAATATTTCAATTATTACAAAAATTTTATTATAAAACTTTTACTTTTACTTTATTTTTTTTTTTTTTTTTTTTATTCTGTTTGTAAAATTTTGGGAATAAAATTTTATTTATTCAAAAATAAGATTTATTGAAAGATACAATAAAATTTCAATTAATTAAATTAAATTAATTAATTAAAGTAATTAATGAATGTGCTACGGGAATTCATAATTGTTCATCGTATGCGACATGTATTGATGCAACTGATGGTTATATGTGTATTTGTAATGATGGCTTTGTGGATACCTCATCACAATTTCAACTTGCACCTGGACGTCGTTGTAGTAATGGTAAAATTTAAAAAAAAAAAAAAAAATATTTAAAAAATTGAAAAGTAAAAAATAAAAAAAAAAAAACATTGACAGTTAAAAAAATTAAAAAAAAAAAGCGACAAATTAATTAAATAAATATAAAAAGTTAATAAAAAAAAAAAGTGAAATATTTTTTTAATTAATTTTATTTATTAATATTTTTGTTATTAATTTGAGTAAAAAAAATATAAGAAATAATAATATTTTACTAAATAATATTTTTATTATAATCTCAACAATTTCAAATATTGGTGATAATTTATGAAATTTTAAATACTAATTTTTATTTATTTATTTATTTTTTCAACCAAAATATGAAATATTAATTTTTATTTTCAGCCAGTAATGAATGTGTTGATCAAACGTTGAATACCTGTGATGAAAATGCAGATTGTATTGATACACCTGATTCGTATACATGTCAATGCTATGCCGGATTTGTAGATGTTTCATCCAGTGCTAATTTACAACCTGGTCGAGTATGTACGGTACAAACAACCTGTCCAAAACAAAAAACTGATCTCATGTTTCTCATTGATGGTTCCGGTTCAATTGGCTCTTATGTTTTCAAAAATGAAGTAAAAATTTTTTTAAACTTTAACGAAAAGAAAAAAAAAAAAAAAGGGAATTAATTACATTTAAAACAGAATTCTCTATTATTTGCTAATCTTTTTTTTGTAAATTTTATCTTTCTATAATTTATCTTATTTATTTAAAATTTAATAAAAAAATTGAATTTTTTTTCTAAAAAAAAATATTTATAATTGTTATTAAATTTTTCATTTTATTCTCTTAAAAAAAAAAAAAAAAAAAAACATTATCAAATTATCAATTTTTTATAATTCCATAGAAGAAGAAATGCAATACTATGATTAGCATTAATTAATTAATTAATTAAATACAAAATAAATCTTTTATAGGTGCTACGATTTATTAAAGAATTTGTGGAATTATTTGATATTGGTTTGGATAATACACGTGTTGGTTTGATCCAATATTCTGATCAAATTCGGCATGAATTTGACTTAAGCCAATATACTGATAAAGCATCTGTTATCAGTGCAATATCACAAGTTCAGTATTTAACAGGTCTTACAAGGTTAATGCATTATTTATTCTTTTGTTTATGTTTATTTCCATCAAAATATCTTAATTTTAATTCATTGAAATTTTGTCTATTTACTACTTTTTCTAATTATCAAATTTCATCCAAATTTTATTTTCTTCTTTTTTTTTTTTTTTTTTTCCTGAAAATTTTACATTTCTAGGACTGGTGCTGCAATTCAGCATATGGTAATGGAAGGTTTCTCAGAGCGACGTGGTGCTCGTAAGGAAGGTGATGACGTTGCACGTGTGAGCATTGTTATTACTGATGGTCGTAGTCAAGATAATGTTACAGAACCTGCTATAAACGCTCGTAAATCGCATATTAATATGTTTTCGGTTGGCGTGACAGATCACGTTCTGGGACCGGAATTAGAAGCTATAGCAGGCTCACCGTTACGATGGTTTCATGTTGATAAGTTCAAGGATTTAGATACACGACTACGTTCATTAATTCAGAAAGCAGCTTGTCCGTCACCGGAACCAAAGCCACGTCCACCTGGTGGATGCAATCCATCAACGCAAACTGGTTGTGATCGTACACTGAATGAAGTTTGTGTACAGGTCCGGTTTTTTTTTTTTTTTTTAATTTATCTTTTTTATTACTTCAAAATTTCAGAATAATATTTTTTTTCCCTAATTCAACATCATTGGATTTTTTTTTTTTTTTTTGAAGGGTAATAGTTCTGCACAATGTGTTTGTCCAGAAGGATTTCAACGGCATCCAAGTACTCGACGTTGTGGTGGTAATCAATGTAATCCGGATTTGCCTACATCATGTCCACATCCGGAAATATGTGTGATTGCACCATTTTCAAATTATCTTTGCGTTTGTCCAAAAGGCTATTTGCGTGATCAACGATCTGGAATTTGCTGTAAGTTTTCCTCTTTTACAATTAATGTTAGTTAGCATAATATTGGTCTTAGACAAAGTTTGAAAAAATCAAATTTAAGTTTAAAATTCAAATTTCAAAAAATTTTTTTTTAGTAGCTAATAATACACACAAAATTGATGGGAAACAACAAAATGAACCAACCATATTGTCATCGCATGATGCTGACTGTCATAATGGTGGTGTACGATGTGGCACAAATGAAGAATGCGTACGTGTTGCCACTCATGATTTTCACGTAAGTGAATTCATACGTACCTATATTTTCCAATTTAAATTTTATTTATTTATTTTTTTTTTTTAGTAACATTTAATAGTATTGATAGGAAGTTAAGACAAAAATTAATTAATGTATTCTTAATTAATTAATTAATTAGTCTATCATAACAATATATAGTATTTGCTTAAGATTAATTAAAAATAATTCTTGAAAAAAAAAAAAAAAAAGGAAATTAATTAGTGTAAGCTAATTTAATGATAAATCATTTGCATTACAGTGTGAATGTATCACTGGATATGAGCGTAACTTATATACGGGTCAATGTTCTGTGCCAGGTTCTTGTGATCCAACCTTACCGAATCCTTGTGACGTTCGTAAACGTGAAAGATGTATGCCACATTCTAGCGGACGTTATCATATATGTCAGTGTGCTAAAGGTGAAAAGCGACATCATGTTACCGGAATTTGCTGTAAGTTAATTTATTTCAATTTAATTAATTAATTATTTCAAATTTAGTAGACTAATAAACATAGATTTAGTTATATATTGAAAACTAAAATTCTGAAAAATTACAAAATTCTAGTATTTGTTAAAATTTCAGGTTAGCATTATTATTTCTAATGACATAAGTCTTCAGATGGGATAACATTTCCGGATTTATTAATTTTATAATTATAACTTTTTTGATGTAATGTTATCAAGTTTAAATCATAAAAATTATTGTTTTAACATTTTCTTTTTTGCATCAATAATAATTATAGTGCAAGATGAGTGTGCATCGGGTGCTAATGATTGTGACAGAAATGCTCGTTGCATTGATACGGATGATGGATACTTATGTGCTTGCCGGAATGGTTATCTGGATCAGAGTTCCGATTTAGTTAATAAACCGGGACGGATTTGTGTAGCTGAACGAGATGAATGCAAAGATGGTACACATAAATGTTCACCAAATGCTATTTGTACGGATACGGTACAGGGATATGTATGTCGTTGTAAGCAAGGATTTATTGATTTCTCACCAAATCCTCAAAGGTATATTTTTAGATTATATTTAAATTTTTAAAGCATTTATTTCATTAATACTAAAAAAATTATCGTAATAACAACAAAAAAAAAAGTTAAAAAATTATTTATACTAATAAATATTAATGTTTAAAATAAAGTAATACTAATCGATTCCAATAATACAGTTAACAATGAGCCATTTACGTATTGACAATGAGAATTATTACTTAGTTATTGATAACTTACTTATTGACAATAACAATTATTAACTTACTTATTGGCAATGAGAATTATTGACCTAGTTACTGACAATAACAATTATTAACTTAGTTACTGACAATGACAATGACAATTATTAACTTACTTATTGGCAATAACAATTATTAACTTACTTATTGACGATGACAATTATTGACTTAGTTACTGACAATGACAATTATTAACTTACTTATTGGCAATAACAATTATTAACTTACTTATTGACAATAACAATTACTAATTTACTTATTGACAATGAGTTATTACTTATACTACTTCCTTTTTTTTTCTTTCAAGCTTTGGTGGTATTATTTGTAAAGAAGTTGTAAATGAATGTCAAAATCCATCACTGAATACATGTCATAAGAATGCAATCTGCATTGATACAGCTGATTCATATAAATGCATCTGCAAAACAGGTTACACTGATTTGGATGAACTTCGAAATCCTGGACGAAATTGTCAAAAAGGTTATTACTTAATGAAAAATTTTCTTTTTTATAAATTATTTTTTTTTTCCTTTTCACTAATGAATTATAATAGTATTAAATTTTAAAAAATTATTTCATTTTACTAATAGATAGATACATTAATAGCTAATGAACAACTAAATGTATTAATTTTAATTTCAATATTTTAGAAAGGCATAACGATCGATGTAGACAAGGTAACAATGATTGTGATCGAAATGCTCGATGCATTGAACATGATGGTAATGATTATGTTTGTGCTTGTACAGCAGGTTATCGTGATAAGAGTCCGGATCCGAATCGACCGGGACGAGTGTGCATTCCTTGTATGTTTATTAATTATATTTTTATCAAAAAAAAAAAAAAAACTGCAAAATTTTAAAAAATTTTGCAATTTTTTCCTTTTCTTTTTTTTTTTTGATTGCAAAATTTGAAATATAATTTATTTTTATTTTTTTTAAAGTAATTCCTGAATGTGATAATCCAACACTAAATGATTGTGATTCACCGGATCGTGCTATTTGCACTGATACTGACGAAGGTTATTTATGCCGATGTCGACAAGGTTTTCTGGATATTTCACCAAATATTACTTCTAAACCTGGACGTCTTTGCAAACCATGTAAATTTAATTTTTACTATAATTTTGATTACTTTATAGATTTACCTAATAACTCATTCATTTTGCTTCAAAAGCAATTTTGTATGCGTATAAGTTATCGATGATATTTTTCAAATTTCTAGTAGAAAATGAATGCGCTAAGAAAGTGGATGATTGCGCCCAAGATGGTGGAATTTGTGAGGATACGCCAGATTCATATACCTGTCGTTGCGCAATTAATTATTTAGATGTATCATTCGATCGTCAAAATCGCCCAGGCCGAAAATGCAAACGACGTCAGTTCAATCAATTTTTGTTTTTTCATTTGTTCGGTTTATAAAAAAAGGTTAAAAGTTAAAAAATAAAAAATCTAAGCAAAAAAAAAAAAAGTTTTTTTTAACATTTTTCAAAATATTTTATTTTGAAATTGTTTTAAGTAAAATTTAATTCGTATTAAGATTACCTGAAAAAATAAAAAAAAAAAATGTTTTTAGTTGTTGATGAATGCCAAACCGGACAGAATGATTGCTCTCCTGAAGCAGTATGTACAGATACAGAAGATTCATATGAATGTGCTTGTCCAACTGGTTATATTGATGTATCACCGGATACTGCTCGAAAACCCGGAAGACGTTGCTTACTGAGTGAGTTGCAAAAAAAAAAAAAGAAACAAAATTATCCGGAAACTTATTTCTCAATTTCATTAATGTATTATTGATTTAATTTTTAACTAATTGAAAATATTGAAAAAAAAAAAAAAAAAAAAAAAAAAAAAGAGAAAATGAAAATAAGATAATCCTGTTCAGGAATTAATGAATGTAAAGCAAATCGTCATGATTGCTCACCGAATGCAGATTGTATTGATACAGCCGAATCATTTATGTGTAAATGTCGAGATGACTTTGTGGATGAATCACCGGATGTTACAAATCGTCCGGGACGATTATGTCGACCGGCTTTAATTGATGAATGTCGCCTTGGGAAGCATGACTGTCACGAGAATGCTATATGTCAAGATTTAACACAAAGTTATACCTGTCATTGCAAACCTGAATTTATTGATCAGAGTCCAAATCGGGTTGCATTACCTGGACGATTGTGCATACCGAGACCAACTCCGCCACCGGCAGAATGTCGTATTGATGCAAGTGCATCATCCTGTAAACAGGAACTAAATGAAGTAAATTCATCCATCCGGATTGTTATTTTCAATTTCGGATTTTATACTTTTATCTCTAAAATCTATAACAAATACTTTTTTCACTGCAACTCTATCAATTTATACTGAATGCTAACATTTTCAAATTTTTTATTTATTATTTGACAATATTTACTGAATGTGCGATATAATAATTAAATTATTAATGCAAAATGTATGATTAGCAGATATCGCAGTGATAACGTAAATAATAATTGATAATAATGATAACAATAATAACAATCAATAGTTGTAATAGTATTTAATAATACAATAATAATAATAATTAAAAATGATGATAACAATAATAATAATAATAATAATTAAAAATGATGATAACAATAATAATAATAATTAATAATAATAATAATAATAATAATAATAATAATGATAATTAAAAATAACAATAATGGTTAAATTATTCCAAATTTTGTAAAGGTTTGTCGCTTAATCAATGGTCAACCAAAATGCGCCTGTCCAATAAACTATAGTCGTGACAAAGTAAAGAATTCCTGCACTGTTATAAACGAATGTGACTTCCCTCAACTGAACGACTGTCACCCGAGCGCAGATTGTATTGATGAACCAACCTCATACACGTGTCGTTGTAAACAAGGTTTCAAGGATATATCATCCAGTGATAAGCCAGGACGTATCTGTCAACCACGTACATATTACATTTGTTTATTTGTTTACATATTAATTAACATAACTATTTATATCATTGATAACAATTCGTTTATCAATTATAAGTACTTGGAAGTTATCATTTCTCAACTTTTCAGCATTTCTTATTGTTTATGCTTGAATTTAACCAATTATTTCTCATACATTTATTAGTTTTTCTTAATCTAATGAGACTTCTCACATCGATAAGCATTAAATATTGTATTAATTTTTTCTTCTTTTTTTTTTTGCTAATTAATTTATTAAACAAATTAAAGTGAATTTAATGAGAATATAAAAAGTAAATAAAATTTTAGTAAAACATTTTATGAATTCACTCAGCTGAAATATTACAATAAAAATAATTACTTTAGTATTTAATTTTATTTTATTATAGATATTGATGAATGTAAACTACCACATCTTAATGATTGTCATCAGAATGCGGTATGTATCGATAAAGAAGATGGTTATGAGTGTAAATGTAATCATGGTTATATGGACCGGAAACCGGAACGACCGGGTAGATTGTGTAAGAAAATGATCGATGAATGTGCAAGAACAGAACTTAACAGGTGTGCTAAATTTTATTAAATGATATATTTTTAAATGAAACATTTTGAAATTTCAATTTATTTAATGTAACCATAAGTTTTTTTATTTTATTTTATTTATTTCTGAGCTATAAAATTTATTCAAATTTTATTTTTAGCTGTGATAAAAATGCAAATTGTATCGATGAAGAAGATGGCTATCGTTGTGAGTGTAAGAATGGATTTTTGGATGTGTCACCGTCACCAACATTCCGTGGTCGTGCATGTCGTGCACTCATTAATGAGTATATCTTGCAGAGTTTTTTAAATTTTAAATTATTTTGATTTTAAATTATACTAAAAAAAAAACAAATAGAACGATGGAATAATTAATATTTAAAATTTAAATCAAATTTTACAAAAAGGAATTTGTAAATTTTGAATTGACTATTTAAATAATTTACAACTCTAATATGATCACTAGTTTTGCTTAATAATATTTTATTTTCTTACAGATGCTCTGATCCTAAATTAAACGATTGTGATAAGACGGCAAAATGCACTGATACCACTGATTCTTATCAATGTGAATGTCCACCAGATTCAAAAGATATCTCTCCAAATCCGGCATTTCCCGGTCGTGTATGTCTTGTTTGTAAGTTTTACTTTCAAAAGGTTATATCTTGAATATAAAAATGATTTAAATATTAAATATAAAAATTATATGTACTATTAAAAATATAAAATTTGATGTATTAAAAGTTTAAAATTAAAAATTTAAGTATGAAAGAATGAATAATAAAATGTAACCAATAATATAAAATTTATTTCCTAATGACTTAAGTAATTAATCTAATTTTGTTTTAGCCAAAAATTATATATGTTTAAGATTAAACTTTTGCATATTTTAATTTAATCAAATTAAAATTAAATTCTTTTTCATGCAGTTGAAAATGAATGTTTGACGGGTAAACATGATTGTGATCCGAATGCAATTTGTCGTGATAATGAGCAATCATTTACATGCGAATGTGCTCATGGATTTACTGATCGATCACCAAATCGTCTCAATCGACCGGGACGTGTCTGTGTGGAGGTAAATATATGATAATTCAATGTATATTTCAATTTAAATGGAATAAGTTTCGAATTCATCAATTATTTCCATCTTATTTTAACGAGCATTGTGATTAGTGATAATAAAATGATAATAATATCAATTTTAAAGAAAAAAAAAAAAACTAACTAAAAAAACTTACAAAAATATAAACTGTTTTTTTTTTTTTTTGAATTAAAAAATGATGAATAAGAAAGAAGTTTTGGGTTTAATTCGACAAATTTCATTTTATTTAATACAGTAGCAAATTTATGATTAAGGTTATTCCATTTAATTGAATTAATCAGTAAATGAATTTAAATATTCTATTATAGCTGATAGATGAATGTACAAGTGGTAGGCATACGTGTAGTGCTCAAGCGGAATGTCGTGATTTAGAGGAAGGTTATACCTGTGAATGTAAAGATGGATTTATTGATCGATCACCTAATTTACTTACACAACCAGGACGAGTATGTGGTACACCAGGTGAGATATTTTATTACAAACATTTATTATATTTAAAAATTCTTAATATAAATTTTATAAAAAATTTTTAAAAATTTTATCAAATATTAATAAAATCAAATGTGAAAAATTTTTTTCAGAAGTTTGTCCATCAAATCATGAATGTAGTTCAGCAGCTGTATGTGAACCTCTTGGTGGTAATAAATATGAATGTACCTGTATTCAAGGTTATGTAGATCAATCACCGTCCGATAAAAAAGGACGTATTTGTGTTCGAAGTAAGATTTATATTAATTATCTTTTTTATATGCATCAGTAATTATCACTCAATTATTTCTTCTTTCTCTTTTAAATCAATATTTGAATGATTAATTTTGAAAATTATTTAATAATTGAGGTTAATATTTGATAAGAAATATTTTTAGATAGTGCATGTCGAGATCCACGTTTGAATAATTGTTCACGTAATGCTATTTGTTATGATGAGCCAAAAGGTTATCGTTGTGAATGCGCACATGGATTTGTTGATCGTTCAGCTGATGGAACACAAAATGGATATGTTTGTGAACCACCTGCACCAGTTACACCACCACCAAGTTAGTAGGATTTTTTTTGATGAAATCATATAAATTTTTAATAATAATAATAATAAATAAATGAGTAATTAATATATTTGTTGCATTGAAACAAATATTTTATAATTTCAATTTATTTTTTCAAATCATTTTAAGTCATTTTACGAATTTTTTTATCACCTTTTAAATATTTAATTATTAATTAAATAACTGAAGTTTTAATTTGAATTTTTTGCATCCTTTTTTTTTTTTTTTTTTTTTTCTTTAATTTTGAAAATTAAAATTAATAAATTTTAGAGCATCCATGCCAAGATCCACTTCTGAATGATTGTCATCCGGCTGGAACATGTCGTGCAACAGGAAAGCAAACATATACTTGTGAATGCTTACAAGGTTATGTAGATCGTTCACCGGATACTCGTAATAAGCCAGGCCGTATTTGCATTCTTACTGAACCGATTTGTTTGGATGCAAATCAGAATGATTGCCATCCGGCTGCTATTTGTAGTGAAACACAAAATGATGAAAAGTATACATGTCGTTGTCGGGATGGTTACATTGATCAATCACCGGATAAAATTAATCGACCGGGACGAATTTGTGTTGAACAAGTTTGCTTTTTTTTTTTTTCTTCTCAACTTATAATTAATAAATTTATTTCGAGTAAATAAATTACATATTACTCAATTTATGATTTATTCAAATTAATAAAAAATTTTTCTTTTTATCTACTTATTATGAATCATTTGTGGCATATATTATTTTTAATTAAATTTTAATAATTAAAAATAGAATGTATTTTAAAAAAAAAAAAAGATTTTCAAATTTCAATGTAAAATTTATATACATTTTTTACTTTAGATAAATGAATGTTTGGATCGTTCATTAAATGACTGTCATCCATTGGCTATTTGTCAAGATTTACCGGATGGTTATACATGTCGTTGTCCACTTAATTCCGTTGACCAATCACCAAATCCAAGTAGACCTGGCCGTAAATGCTTTCAACAAATAAATGAATGCCGTAATCCATCATTAAATAATTGTTCACGTTTCGCAGATTGCATTGATAAGCAAAATGGTTATGAATGTCACTGTCGTGATGGTTATCATGATGGTAATCCAAAACATCCTGGTACCACATGTATTTACAGTAAGTTTCTTTTTTTTTAAAATAAATTTTCTTCAAAAATTTAGATATTTAAAAAAAAAAAAAAAAATGAAAAATGCCTGAATTATTCATAAATTTCCATTAATCATAATGTGAAATTAACATGAATTGTTTAAAATTTGATATATTTTATTTAAAATAAAATTTGAAATGAGAAATGATTTAAAAGGTAAAAAATGTATTTTTGTTTAACAAATTCATAGAAAGAAAAAATTAATGTTATTATCATATATGCTTGCAGTGTAATATAATTTAATTAATAATTATAAGTAATAGAATTTCATTAATTAACTGATAGTTCAGAGCAATGGTAGCAATAATTTTGATAATTGGAATTGAAATATTAACCAAAAAAAAAAAACATGAATGAATTTGAAGAAAACTTCAAAATTTGAGCTATGTAATCAATCTTATGGCTTATGCTATGACTCATATTTAAATACTTAAATAATGAATTTATATGATTTGAAATATCTGATTATGCAATATATAAATTTGACCATTTCCTGATTGTAATAACTGATAACGATGATCAAATTACAGTTATCAATGAATGTGAATCAGCAAATTTGAATGATTGTGATCGTCATGCGGAATGCATTGATCTGGAAGGTGGTTACGAATGTCGTTGTAAAAAACCGTATCATGATGAGTCACCATCAGGACAACCTGGACGAATATGTCGCTTTAATGAATGCTCAGTCTCGACCGATAATACATGTGATAAGAAATTTGCTGTTTGTGAAGATTTAGATGATGGATACACGTGTCATTGTAAAGCTGGATATTATGATAATTCACCGAATACACAGGAACCGGGCAGAGTTTGCATTGGTATTTCAAATTTTTTTTTTTTTTTTGAATTTAAATTTTTGATCTTTCAATCTTATTTCTAATAAAAAGCAAATTAAGAAGAAGAATAAATATTAAAATTATTAATGATAAAATTTAATTGTATAAATATTGAAATTTATTTCAGAAGTATAAAAAATTCTTCTAGTTTTCTATTAATTTTTGAATTGTATCATTTTTGTAACTACATTCAAATTGAATATAAATGAAACAATTAAATTTTATTTAATTATTTTTTTTTTTGCAGAATTTCAAAAAGAAAAAATTACAACAATTTTACCACAAGATGCACCACGTATTGATGGAATCTTATGTGGACGTAACAATTACTGCGCAATAAAACGTAATGAAGTTTGCGTTGGTGGTGTTAAATGTATGTGTCGACCAGGTGACGCACGTGCGACAATAAATGATCGTTGTGAAACTGTCGAGCGTATACCATTTTCAATTCGTATTCTTAATAAAGATACTACAACATTATCATATAGTTCGGAATATGGTAGTAGCGATAGTGCACCATACGTTGAGATAACGCATTTATTCTCGAAAGATATTGGTCGTGCGATGAGTAGTACCACGTATGGGACACGTTACGTAACCACGGATGTTAATTATATTACACATCCAAAAACTGTTAATAGGTATGTTAATTGTTTTTTCTTTTTTTTTTTTTGAGTCTTTTTTAAGATTTATAAAATATTATGCATTATACATTCGTATACAAATAATATTTAAAAATAAGAACTATTAAAATCCTATACAAATAATATTTAAAAATAAAATTTATTATTTTTTTTTTTCAGTGAACTTTTTTATGTTTAAAATAATATTTAAAAATAAAAGTAGTTATTAATTTTTTTTTTTATATTAAAATAATATAATATTTAAAAAACTATTTTTTTTTTTTTTTTTTTTTGGTAGATTTTTTAATATGTATTTAAAAAAAAATACAATGCTTACAAATAAAAACTGTTACAAATTTCTTTTTTCGGTGGTTTTTTTTATATTTAATAATGAAAGCTATTATTTTTTTTTTTTTTTTTTAGACTAGTAAATTACATAAGCTTACTGCTTAGTTAATCAATTTTATTTAATCAAAACTTAATTAATCAAGCTTAGTTAATCAAATTTTAGCTCTTGGCCAGATGGCTTACTGTTTAACTTTTCGGTGGCACTTCTTCCAAGTGGAACACCAACTGATATTTGCAATTTGTGGGATCAGTTAGCAAAATCAATTCAACGAACAAATGGTGCCATTGGTGGTGGACCACTTCGTGTAGCATCTGATTATGATCAATTAAATCCATGCAGACCAAAGTTACCACATGGTGAAGTATGCGGTACTAATATTTGTAATAATGAACTTGGCGAGGTTAAATTTTTAAAATATTTTCACTTAATTTTACATGAAAAAATAAAATTCCAACTATTATTAAAATTTTAATGATGAAAAAAAAAAAAAAAAAAAACCAAAATAAATATCTATTAGACTGTTTTTAATCGTTTAGAGATTGTTGATATTATTAAATTTTTCAATTAATCATATAATGCATATTCCTATTTTATATTTTCTCTTATCTGTTTACATATTCAAATTTTAAAATTATTAAAATATTTTGTTAACCTACCTATGTTTTAGGTATGTATTGCTGGATCTCTTTGTGGTTGCACACACGGTGAGAAGCGTTCATCGCCAACCGATATTTGTAGACCGGTGGAAGCTTGGAATATTGTTTTATGGGTAATGCGAAAAGATGATGAAAAATTGATGTACACGGATATTTTAGCAAATCCACGACATATGGTTACCAAGGAACTTGTCAAACGATTTGAAAATGGCATTGGACAGTGCTATCCAAATACTGCATTAGCTGGTTCTTTTGTTACAGCTGAAGTGAGATATTTTTGGAAAATTTTTTCAAAAAAAAAATTATACATTAAAATTTCTGAAATAATATAATGTAAAATTTTAATTTTACTCAAATATTTTTGCACTTTTTTAGGTTAATGAAATTATGGATCCAATGAATATTAATGCAACATGGGATCGAGGTATTTTATTTAATTCAACTGTTTATTTCCGAAAAGGTTCAGTACGACTACCATCAGATGTATATCATATGCTCATTCGATATATTATGGATCGAAATAATTATCAAATTGGACAAAGTGGCTTATACATTAATAGTTATCAATCAGATCCATTTAAAGCATGTTGGAAGGTGAAATTTGTAAAAAATATTCTGATTTAAAAATGAAAAATATACAAATATATATATGTTTTCTTTATTGATTCAAGCATCAAAATTTTTGAAAATTAATTATTGACTACTTCTGCTATTTTTGTAAAAAGTATTTTTCAAATCATTTAAAGTAAGAATTAATACATTATTATTATTATTATGATTATTATCACTATTATTATTAATTATTTTTATTAGAATAATTGTCATCCGAAAGGAATTTGCATTGATCTTGGACCGAATGCTTATCGTTGTGAATGTGGACAAGGATATCGTGATTTAAATCCATCGGATCCTGGAAGACGATGTTTACCTAATACTGGTTATAATGAATGTGAACGAAAAGAAGATAATGAATGTTCTGAAAATGCTCGTTGTATTGATCAGGTATGCATAGATATAATTTTAATGATTTTTCTCAATTTGACTATTCAATAATTTTAATTGATTGTTTAATAAATCATTTAGAAAATTTTTATTAATTAAATGAAGTAAACAGATTAAGAGTATTCAAAAAGTAAATATTATCGTAAAATTTTCAAATTTTTTTTTCTTTTTTTTTTGACTAATAGAAAAATTTTTAATAAATTATAATAATTTTAAGGAACATTTATATAAATGTGAATGTTTACCATCGTTTACTGATGCATCACCAAAAGATGCAATTGCTGGAAGTGTTTGTGTTTTGGATTATTGCTCAGATGTAAATTTCTGTCCAAGAAATACGACATGTATGAATGAGGAACAACAAGCAATATGTCAATGTGATCCGGGTTATGTTGATATCCGGAAAAGTGAGAAAAGAACTCAATTATTTGATCAGGATATTTTATGTCTCAAAATGCGTGATATTGATGAATGTGCTCTTGGAATTACCAATTGTTCAGGTTAAATATAATTTTTTGATATTGTAACATATGTTAGCTTAAACAATAAATATTATTTAGTTAAAAATATTTGAAAATGAAATTATAATATAGTTATGTGATGACAAAAGGAATTTACAATTTATTTGTATGCAAATGTCACAAAAATATTTTTTGTAAACTTTATATATTTGAAATTTTTTTGAAATAGAAATCGTAGATGAATTTGTAGAGCTTTAACTAAATTATATTATCTAAAATACTGCATAGTTTTTTTTTTTTTTTTCATTTTTATATTTTTTAAATTTGAGAATTTTTATATTTAAAGGTGTTGCGGAATGTGTTGACAAAGCTATAGGCTATGAATGTCACTGTCCGGAAGGTTATGTTGATGGCAATCCGGAAGAACCGGGAAGAGTTTGCGGTGCATTACTTTGTGATCTGTGCAATTCACACGGTGATTGTGTACACAATGCTTTGACAAATAATATCACCTGTGTGTGCAGTGATGGTTGGTCTGGTGAATTCTGTGATGTGGCACCATCGAAAGCTTCGATGATACTACTTGTTATTCTGGCAGTTCTTTTCCTTCTACTAACACTTTGGTATCTTTTTTGATTTTGATTTTTCAAAAATTGAAATAAGATAGGAATTTTTTTTTCTTCTAAATTATATATTTATACTTTCTTTACAGCTGTTTGCTATATTTCTGCACGAAATGTATCTGTTTCAAGCGTCATAATTTATTGTATCGTGAACCATTCACATATCGCAAAGGTGCTTGGCCTTGGTCAACCCTAGAAGCATCAACATCAAGCGAAAGTGGTGCTGATTTTTCAGCAATGAGTGCCGCAGGTCATGAATATTATCCTGAAATTGGTTAGTTTTTTAAAGTTAAAATTGTGAGCAATAGTAATTTTAATATATAATATTTGACGATGCTATCAATTTGTTGTGTATAAATGTTTTTTTTTTTCTTTCTTTTGAGAAATATATAAAACATACAAGGAATGAAATTAAACAATTAATTATTTATTATTTTTTTTTTTTTAATGACGTTGTTTCATATTGATGAAAAATCGCTTGTAAATTTATGCAAAAGTTTATTTCTTAATTTTTTTTTTCTCAGGTATCCCACGTGCGAAACTAAAATCTGGAAATGGTATGATGGATGATCAGCAGCATCGATCGTTAGCCGTATCAAGACTTCATGACTATCTCGATGATGGTATGCGTATTCCACGTGTACATCTCGATCGTGATAATGATGCATTTGATTCTACGTCACAGTCATCAAGCGAATATACCATACGTGAAGAAATTAAACGACACGTGATCACTGATGTTACAAGAAAAGAAACCAAAAAAACATTAACCACTGCTGATATTCACGGCACTACCGCGGAATTTCACGTATATCCACCAATTGAAGTTACAACCGAATCACATTCATCATGCCAGGTTGGATTTATTGTATAAAATAGATTTCATTTATTCCATTAAAATTTACAATCATTGTTCATTTTTTATTCTAAATTTATTTTGTGAAATTTCAGGTTGGAACACATAATTCTAGTTCATTGATGGATAAAGATGAACAAGAAAGAGGTGAAAGTATAGCAGAATTTAGCATTGGTAATGCACGACGTGACTGGAATACAACAACGAGTAGAAATTGTGAATTTAGTACGGTTAGTGATAAATAATATCTATTTTATTTCAATTAAATAAACAAAAATAAAAATGATAAACGATCAATAAAGAAATTAGCAAATATTGATCCATACAAATGGATAAATATAAATATTTTCATAATTAAAGTAAAATTATTTGTACTAAAATTAATGATAAGTAAGAATATAAGCATATGATGTAATTTCATTTCATAGGATCGTGATTTGGAATCAGTTATTAGTGATTCAATAGCTGAAGATGAAGTTTATGATAAGAAAACATCAGTGAAACGATCACATAATTTTGAACCAACTATTGGAGGTGGTACTGAGCGCTATCGGACCGAAATTACTACAACGAAATCAACAAAAGGAGTTTCAAAATATTAAAATTCATTAAATATTTTATTTCAAATAAAGCATTTAATGCCTACCTTACGATTTACCTATTATTAATGAATGTCTTCTTTTTTTTATTAATTATAATAAATTTATGTTACTTTTAGTCGTATAACTTTTGCTATAATTCTATATTATTCAACAATGTTTTCTTGCAAAGTTTACTAGCTTATATTTCTTGATAATATGTTGGTTTTTTCTTTTTTTTTTTTTTTTTTTATAACGGGATTTTCTCCTTTTGCTGTTTTTTTTTTCGTTTGTTTGTTTGTTTGTTTTGTCAAATTTTGTAAACAATTTTTTTTTCCATATTGACTAGCTGCCTTTTTTCATATATTTTCACATTAATTTGTTCCAATTACAGGATTGAGAATAAGTTTTTTCTTTGTAGATCCTCTGGAAAAATGTTTTGCAATATTTTTTGATCTATAAAGTATATGCAATATAATTTTGATTTAGAAGCAAACATAGCTCTATTCGATAAATTTTTAGCAATAATATTCCTTCTTTAAATTGAAACTAACAAATTTATATTGTATGTTTGAGATAATAAATTCACATTGCCATAATTTTCCTCTTTTCATATTTTTTTCTTTTTTGAAATTTATAAATAAAAAGGAAAAAAAAAATAAATTCAATTGATGTTTTAATATACACTGTTATATATGATCTAAAGTATTTTTATTACAAATGTAAAAATTTTCGACTAGATTTGATTTATTTAAATTAATTAATAATTGCATATTGTTCATTTGCCTCAAATTTTCAATTAAAATTTTTCTCTAGAAATCACTTCTTTTTTTCAATGAAATCAAATAATTTATTTTTATGTTAATCAAAAATCATTTGATTTAAAAGTATTTTCTGTTTTTTTTTTTTTTTTTGTGGTCAAAAGTGCCTAAAGAGTTTTATTGTTTATGTATTTATCATGCATCGAATAAATGTCCTTTAATAAAAGAAGTGAATGTGACATTAATCTCAATTTTTAAGATTTTATGAATTATGCAAAAGTCAAGTACATATTCAATATGAATAACAAGTAAAGCAGATGTATACTATTTATGAAGAACAATTTTTTTTTTTTTTTTTCTAATAAAAATAAATGAAATTCATTTTGACAATAATTTCAATTTAGATTCTATGTCTAGTGTTATTGTAGAAAGTACTACTGTAAAAGCAAATTTAGAACTTCTTTCTTAGTGCCCTGTTTCCTTGTGAAACAAAGCTTCCTTTCTCGATGGTTCAGATCGTTGACTTCTCTGTCCTCGATACTGGTAGAATCTCGAATTTGTACTGGTTCCCTTCTGGGAGTCTTCGTGAAATACTTTATTATTCAAACCTCAAACTAAACCACAGATTAACATTAAATATTATACAACATTACAATAGTGAATTGATACATAACACACAAATGTAACTTAATTATAAAACATTTAAAGATACAAGCAAGCTAGATACCTCGCAACCGAGCCATACCAAACAAGGAACTATAATCAGTGGCTTTGTAAGGAAGAAAATTGGGAGGGATTTTATGGGTGTTAAGGTTACAAAGTGGATTACAATCATTTCAAACAATAGCCTTTGTTCATTAGGTTATAGCTTCGCCACTGTGGCGACAACTTCTATAATATAAACTGACGACTGCTCTCTGTGACAAATTTTGATTTTTTTTTTTTAAAGAAATATTTAGAATTAAAATTGGATGCAAATTATGTAAGTAAAAAAAAAAAATGAATGGAATGAAAAAAGCTATATGTAACCAGAAATGATTAGAATAATAGCATAAATTGAAAATTTTTAATGCTAGTATCTCGACAAAACACCTGGTGAAATATAATAATTTTAAGAAATATTTCTACAAATGCAAACACTTGCTTGCTTAACATTGCATTACTAGAAACAGATGAAATTATGATTTTAAAAATTTCATGAGATTATTTGATGTCATTATAAATATCAAATGATTATATAGTTTAATATTCTTAATAATTCACTTTGAATGTTTTAGAGAGAACTTCCTCGTCTTACTTCATTTAACGACTATTTCAATAACTAAATTTTATTTGAGCAGTATTCAAAACCATTTGAAATTATTAAATAGTTGAAATAAATGGGATCATTAATTTATGCCCGACTTAATTAATGCAAATTTTCACAATGTCTACTACAATCATATATACGACGACTGGAAAATGAAAACAAAAAAAAGCAAAGATAATAATATGTGACGGAGAGTTGAGATGAAGAATAATAATGAAATAATTCAGTTCTGATTTCAATGGAATAAGTATTTCGTGCAGAAAATTAAGGGCACTTAATGATATTATGATTTTGACAGAGATTTTTAAATTGATAAAAAGGAGAATCCTTCCAAATTAAAATAGTAATAATAAGTGCAAGCACTTATTATTTTCTTTTATTTTCTCCATCAAAATAAAACATTAATAGATGATGAAGAACAAACGCTTTCTTTCTTTTTTATATATAACTTTTATTTATTGTGCAATAAAGTTTGAGTAACGACTCATAACATTATAGATTAATATATTTGTTAGATACCTGCAATACTCCACGGCAGAACTTCATTAGCTTAATGAATAAAATTTCATCCGTGCTTCGATGACTTTTACATCATACCTTTTGCATTTACATTAAACGGAAATTTACGTAAGCTTTGACGTTCTAAATAAAACATCGTTTCCAGCCAAATGAATGATATAGTTTATTTTAATGAAAGTAATTATATAGAAATAAATATAAGCTTACCTTATTGTACAGGCCAGGGTCTCTCATGTTGTAAGTTTACAATTTTCATTTCAACTTTATTATATACTTTTCGTTACAACCCATATGCAACAAAGAATTAAAGGTATTTTCAATAGTCCTTTTTATGAAAATATTGTTCATTGTTCTAATCAATGAATAAAAGAATTTTAGAGACAAATATGATAGAAGCTTCTGCCATTGATTGTTTATTTTTTAAATCAGTTGTGAAAAAATAGTAGCATGAAAATTACTGTATTCTCAACTTCTATATATTCTATTTTTATTAAGTAAATTCAATATTGTGCTAAACCACATATTTTGATATCATAAAATAATATGAGAGAGAAGAAATTGTTAATAAATAGATTGCCGTAAACAAAATCACGACACGTTTGTTTAGCATATTTATACAACAAACGCCACGTGGTAGCATATTTTACAACAGTTGGTAATATTATTATTATTCCTTTCATATTGTATTTAATATTTACGAAAGTGACAGATGGATTTTTCAAATATTTCACACTGAATTTAATGTTTGTTTGCGTAACATCGGCTATTGCTGCTCTCATAACTGATGCAATTAATATTACAAAACTATTTATTTCAATTACAGAAAGCAAATTACATTTGTACGTTTCGCTTTCAATTCATTTCGATTCATTTTCAATTCATTTAAATTGTCACAAATGTCTCTTTAGTTTCAGCTTGGAATAATAAGACGGTAACATAAAATTGGTACCTACGTAAGGATAAATATGAAATCAAATTTCTCACATTTTCCAACACATTTTTTTCACAGTTCAAAAAATCTATTTTGTATTAAAATGATCGATATTGAAATTTCATGATCTGATAATTTGATCAACTTATAAAGCAATCGTTACATTTTTACATTTGACAATCGAGAATGGGCGCGAATTTATGTTAGGTTAGGAAGCATTTGGTTTCATGCCCTAGCAATATATGCAGTCATAATTTGCTATTTACCTTACGTGAAACCTTTTTTTTTATATAAAAAAATTTTCCAATAGGTAAATTTTTTTCCAAAATTTGTATCTCATAATCCATTTCATCTAGTAGCTACTGTTTTCTGATTGTTATGCTAATTGTTAATATTATGCTTAATGAAATTTTTAATAACTTTACTGAGTGATAAATAACCTTAATATTGCTAACAACTTCAGAAATGTCTTAATAAAATGCTATGAACTACTTTATGTGATATTGGCAAGGTGCAATAATTATCGCTGCCATTACCTCAATTACATTATTCTAAGTGCTGTTAATATGATAATGATAAGATGATCTGACAGCTGTGACACAAATTATACTAAATTTAGTGTAATATTGCGTGGCGCATTTGTATAACTTTGTTATGCATTTCTTTGACATATTTAACTTGCCAAATGATAAGAATAATAATTTTCAGCAAAATGAACAGCACTTATTATTCTAACAGCAGTAATTTTATCAATAGTTCAAATGTGCCTTTGTGTGAAGGCTTAGGCATTTTCTGCCGTAAGTTTATAGATTACAATTAAACTTTATCAGCCATTTGAGCAATTCTTAAATACAAATATTCAAAAGTTTTGTCTAAAATTTTCTCATGGAATTTCGAGAAATTCATGTTACCTTCCGAGAAGAATGAAATAATTTAGGAAAAACTATTAGACAAATTTTCACGAAAGCATTGTTTATTGTTTTTTTTTTTTTTCATATATATGTATACTATTTTTATTAAATAAATGCAATATTATGCTAAGCTACACATTTTGATGTCATAAATTAATATAAAGAGAGAAGAAATTGTTAATAAATAGATTGCCGTAAACAAAATCACGACACGTTTGTTTAGCATATTTATACAACAGACGCCACGTGATAGCATATTTTACAACAGTTGGTAATATTATTATTATTCCTTTCATATTGTATTTAATATTTACGAAAGTGACGGATGGATTTTTCAAATATTTCACACTGAATTTAATGTTTGTTTGCGTAACATCGGCTATTGCTGCTCTCATAACTGATGCAATTAATATTACAAAACTATTTATTTCTATTACAGAAAGCAAATTACATTTGTAAGTTTCGCTTTCAATTCATTTCGATTCATTTTCAATCCATTTCGATTCATTTTCAATTCATTTAGATTGTCACAAGTGTCTCTTTAGTTTCAGTTTGTAATCCTAAATCTTGCAATTTGATGATTTAATAAAATAGTCATTGCTTTTTTAGATCAGATATTCAAAAATGGTCTCGATTTTATGTTAGGTTGGGAAGCATTTGGTTTCATGTTTTAACGCTGTATGCAGTCATAATTTGCTACTTACCCTACGTGAAACCCTTTTTTTATTCAAAGAAATTTTCCAATAGGTAAGTATTTTTCATTATTCTTCAATTCTTTTACTTTTACTCCTTTGGAAATTCATTCTTTCACTTCTTTTGATGGAAAGCTTTTGTTTTACTTTTTTTGTTGGAAAATTACTCTTTTATTTCTTTTAATGGGAAATTTCACAATCTCAAAATGTTAAAATAAAACTTTGATTTGAAGAGTAATATGGAAGCTATTTCATTTTCTGTTCTTTTTTCCGCACAAATTTTTATTTGGTTTTTCCTACTGAAATGTATTTTCTGGATTTGAACGGAAGTTATTGACCGTTTATTCTTCTTCCTCTATTTTCAGGAGTCAAAAACCATACTACGTTGCATTACATATTTCAGCCCTTATTTGGAGTACTTCTGTAACTTACCTATTTACAGAATTCAAATATCGTATACCTTATTTTCTAACACATATCACATTGTTTATTTCATTATTCTTTGCTGCTCTAATAGTAAGATTTTATGAATTCTGAAATCCATAGAATGAGTTATATAGTATTTCCGGCACCAATTATGATTAATTAGTGTAGGATGCAATTTTCCAGGTAATTGCAGATAATTTCATTTCAATTATCACATACTTCTCCAAACTCAATGATAACTTTAAATGAAATTATCAATGATCTCTGCAACAATAATCATTTCGTTATTTCAGGGATCGCTTAAAATAAATAAGTATAAACCACTCGGTGTTGACTCTATTCGAGTTGCAAAAGCGCAGCAGAAGCGTTTATATTCATTCATTTTATATAGTTATTCGATTGAATTCATCACTTTGCCTATGTTTGGTAAATTTTTATTATTTTTCTACAATAATATCATTTCCAATTGTTTACTAATAGTGAAAACTTATGATAACATTTGATGCATTTACAGACACTCTTTCATCTCTCTTTAAATTACTCAATCGAAAATCAAAACATATAATCAGCTAATGTACTTTGAAGCTTTTTAGCATCTTTTATTTTATCAATTTTTTTACTCAAAAGTGACATTAATATATGTGTATTTTAGTTAACGCATGCGCACATGCTTTCTGTATATTTGCCGGTTGCGAAAGCAATTTTCTTGCTAGTTATTTCAAAATGATACTTAATTTAATTATTTATTACTTTTATGAGGTAATTAATTAAGGAATCATTGCTTTCCATATCATTGATTATCTTTTATCATTCCCAGTAATTCCTCTTTCTTTCAGTGTCACATAATTTTAGATGCGATCGATCGCTATTATCACCATTACGATTCTTGCTCTTGAGCCATATCGCCGTGCAACTTTTTCATTGTTTAGTAAAAGAAAATAGATTTCGAAAGTGGAATCAATTCAAACGGTAAAAATATACTTTGTAAAAATACTGAATGAGCAGAAAATAAGACAGAATTAAATCTTACTGAAATGACAGTAGTATTTTAATCAATTTTTTTTTCCTGATTTTGCATTTGTAATAATAATTTACATATAGCGAAGGAACATTTGTGTAGGAAGAAATGCTTTGGTCACTAAAAAAGACCAATACGAAATAAGTAAGTGCTGTCACAAAAAATGACAACGAAAGGTCACATCTGGCGGTGTTGACAGAGCGGTTTTGTCTTTTCTTCGCAAGACAGATTCCACATAGTTCTCAAAGACACTAGCTGGCCTATGTATAATAATATATATCCATGTCGTCCGATTTGAGGCTAAGTAGGTGGCTGATGGTGATGGATTTGTTTAAGGCTGAGATTGTTGCGATAGCCAGTAGCGAATTCAACACAGATCGCAGTCTTAAGGCAGCGATTATTGTTCACCCTGACGATGTGACCTAAGCTCTAAACAGCATAATTGGGTCTTAAGCAAAATGACCTACCTGCTGGTGATCCTTGCTTATTATATTGGTCAGGTGATAAGTATAGTGGATATTTAGGATGGGCAGAGAGAGCGCTGATGGTACCGTTCAAGGAGTCGCAGGTGATGATCTCAGTTTTTGATAAAAAAAATTTTGATCGCAAAAGAAGTGAACAGTAAACACTAATTTTGATGTTTTTCTTCAAGTATCGTAAAATGGGATCTGATTTGAATGGAATATTTTGCAGAGAAAGCGATGTTTGATCAATCTTTATTTTATTGAGATAAGATTATCATGATCATGATCGTAGATATTGAATAATATTAGAAATGAGAACAGTGAATGTCAGATTGCTATCCAGAAAAATTAACTAAGTAATTAAAGATCATAACTCTTTATATATAGTAAACATTAACTCATAACAAGATGCAATGATTTGCAATACAAAGTGTTGTTAATCAATAATCAGGTATGGATGATAAGATGATAAGTCGCAAAGGACATCAGCTAAACGAAGAATTAAAAAAAAAATAAAAAAATAAAAAAAACATACAACAGAAAAGATCCCTAAATAAGAAACTGATAAATGTAAACAATCCAGTTAGGGATAAATTCCAAAACCATTATTCAAAAATATTCTTTGTTAACAAACAAATGCAAATATGTTTAGTTACAGAAAGATCTATTAATTCTATGAATTTAATACAATTTTATTTTTAAATATTATAATTCCATTTTTTTTTTTTCAACATTAAATGCTTATTGTTTCATACTTTTTTACGAAGTTTCTGAATGTTCTGTACGTCTTTTGTTAGTTTGTTGTCAATCGTTTGTCACTTGAAAGAATCCAAAAGAATGATACTTCCTGGATAGGTTATTACTGGATTGATTTAAACTAAGATGAATCTATGATAATATAAAGAGAATTAATAATCGACCGGGTGGTTTCGGGTTGCACACAGAATCCCTAACTTAAATTAATGTTCAATCAAAAAAGCGCCCGCAACAGATCATGTTGAGAAACTTAGAAGGATATTCTAGTAGTTTCACGATTTGTCATAAGGTCTGTCGCCACAATGGCGAAGCTATAACCTAATGAACAAAGGCTATTGTTTGAAATGATTGTAATCCACTTTGTAACCTTAACACCCATAAAATCCCTCCCAATTTTCTTCCTTACAAAGCCACTGATTATAGTTCCTTGTTTGGTATGGCTCGGTTGCGAGGTATCTAGCTTGCTTGTGTCTTTAAATGATTTGTAATTAAGTTACATTTGTGTGTTATGTATCAATTCATTATTGTAATGTTGTATAATATTTAATGTCAATCTGTGGTTTAGTTTGAGGTTTGAATAATAAAGTATTTCACGAAGACTCCCACAGTACACAGAACGGAACCAGTACAAATTCGAGATTCTACCAGTATCGAGAACAAAGAAGTCAGCGATCTGAACCATCAAGAAAGGAAGCTACTTTGTTTCACAAGGAAACAGGAAAGAAAGAAAGAAGTTCTAAATTTGCTTTTACAAAAGGTCCTTTTCTGCTAACAATGTCAAATGCTTTGATGAGTCAACAAGGGTCACCTAGGGTCACCCTCAAATAGAAGTGCTTCTGCATTAGTGAACACTACTCCATTTAGAAATATTCTTTGCAAGAATTTTATCAAATGTAGAGAGTAATAACTTTCATAGAAATTATCGAACTATTATTTCTGATAGAGTAAATTTAGGTAATATTTATAATTTCAGTTTACCTGAACAAAGACTGTGTAACCAGCACCATTTTCATTCAAACTACCTTCTTCACGTGGTTACTAAGCGTAGCAACGTCATTGTTAATGCGTGATAATTCATGGGCAACTAGAACAGAATAATACCTGTCTTCATTCAAAGGTCAATTTGATCACAGACCATTGGTCACATTTAGCCAACTAGAGTCATTTTTGTCGCGAATTTCGAATATTGCAAATCTCAAACTAAACTAAACTAATAAAACAATTTCAACCAAAAATTAAGCTAGCATTGCGATATGCAAAATTATGAATCATTTAACCAATTTTTCATTCTCAATGAACCATTTCCTCATGCATTTTAATCGAACTAATTTCTTATTACCATTGATAAAAGCTAAAATATCCGGAAGTTTATTACACATCCAAATATCTTCCCATCTTTTATCTAATTTTTATCAAATATTCTTCGACTTAGGCATTTTTGTTCAGAACCTATCAAATATTGAAAATCATTTTTATTCTAACTTATATTTATTCAATATAATTGTGAGAGATTCTTATAAATCTCTACTGTACGATTTTCTTCACCTTAACATTTACTTCATGCTCTATTATTTTTATTAATAAAATTTTATTCAAAGTATTTCGATGTTATTGCCAGTAAAGCTAAAAAATTATAGTTGCTTCTTTTATCGCTTCCTTTTTTCTTCATTTCCTATTTTTATTTTTAAAAATATACTTTAAATGTTATACACCAATACCATATTCAGTAAATAGAATTCGAGAATTTGTATAATTTATCGAATATAATGCTATAATCTAATCACAGATGCATAATATGAATTTGATATTATTTAATCAAATTGTATACTTACTTCAATGATTGAATTATTTTTTTTTACACCAACTCTCTTGGTAACAATTAATCCTTTTTTTTTCATGAAATAATTAACAAAAAAATTTGTCCAAAATTTGTCACACAGAATTTCAGTTTACTTTTTTCTCTTCTATTTTACTATTATTGTTACTCTTCAATTCACTGTAACAATGCGAAAGAAAGAAAAAAAGATTGTTTGTAAATTTCTTTTTTTATGTGAAATTCTCTCATGCAGATGAAATTTTCGAAATTAGTTTATTAATTACAAATATATATATATATCTTTTTTCAGATTTTTTTTTCTTTCGCTTCAATTAAATTTATTTATGAAATAGGGGAAGAGAAATCTAATAGTCAGCAAAAAAAAAAAAAAAAATACGATTTTAATTATTGAATTTCTTGTTAATTGGATTCTAACACATTTTCCATTAATTTCAGTTCTAGTAAAATTAAGCAATTCAAACTTTCTTTTACAGAAAAATATTATTTGAAATCATTTGAAAAGTTTTCAAACTTGAGAAAATGCTATTTTAACAGCATTTATGCAACTAATTGTATTTGGCATATGCTTTTTATATCGCAATCGGAAGTTAATGACTGATCTACTGGAAGGATGTGATAAATTAAATTAAAGCTTGCAATTTTCTTTTTTCTTTTTCTCAAAATTTTACAATGAGTCAATAAGAATGAAAAATTCTAATCAATTCTCAAAAATATTATAATTCGATGGCCATTTTTATTTTCTAGTTAATTAATTAATTGAACATCCTTGTAATTAATTTGTAATAATGATTAATGTCAAAATTACAATGATTACTTTTCAAATATTGTAACAATACTGATTATAAATAATATTAATATTATAATATCATGGCATTACCACCTATCATTTGATATCATTTACGACTTATTATTTTTTTGTCCTCATTAATTACCTCTATCATTATTCATGTCATTATCATATTTATAACTTATCATATATAATTAGATTTTACTTATTGTTTTCGCCAGAAATGTATGAATAAAAACGAACGATTTACTATACCTAACCTTACGAAAAGAGATTTATTATACTCTCCTGGGTATCTGAGTATAACAGAATTATAATCTGCGTAAAACAGAATTATAATCTGAGTATAACAGAATTATATTCTGAGTATAACAGAATTATAATCTGAGTATAACAGAATTATATTCTGAGTATAACAGAATTATAATCTGAGTATAACAGAATTATATTCTGAGTATAACAGAATTATAATCTGAGTTAATTACTAATATATTTTAATGAAAATAAAAAAAAAGGGAAGCATTCTTGTTGATTTAACAATTTTAGAATGTTTATTCATACAATCCTTTACATATGTTTGGATTAATGTTGAAAACTTTATATGAATTTGTATTAAAATTCAAATCTAGAAATCGTTAGTATTACTATCACAATGCAGTAGATAAAATCTAGAATTCCATTGTACTAATGAATTTTTTGATCGTTTCCATAATAACATAAACATATTTATTAATAAATGTTAGAACAATAAGATGAACTATTGCTGAAGAAATCACATTTAATTGTTCAAAATTATGCGTATTAAAAAAGTAATAATTTGTAGGTAACTATGATATCCCAGAAAAATGGGAAAAGACAGGTAAAGGTAAAAGATTGGCATTCTAAATTAAAGCTTATCAAACTAATGTTAATTAAACTTATCATATACATAAATAAGAGTCTTTGAAATAATACTAACAGCTTTTTTCAAAAAGCTTTATGCTCATTAAGCTTATCATCAATTAGATTGTTTGATGTTATAGTTGCAAAATTTCTGGAAAATTAAACAACAAAAACGAAATTTAATTTTAAAAATATTTGGGAATTAAAAGTATTACGAAAAAATTTAAACAACTATTTAAAGTTTCGGCACTAATCAATTCATAATTTTGGAAGTATCAGAACATTAATGATTAATGATAAATGAGTTTTACAGCGATTTGTATTTCTGAACAGTCATTCGGCACAATTGTTGTTTGCAATTAACATATTTTGACTAATCCGTAACTGTAAGGGTATTACCGGAACATTTACAGCGTATTGTAAGCAGAACAATTTCCGGATAAGATTATATTTCGTTCTGATCCGCAATTGCATGATTATTTCCGGAACATTTACAGCGAGTTGTAAGGAAAATGATTTTCGGACAGGAATGCAGCAGTATTCATCTTATCTATTGAACACTTCAAATTTCAAAAGGTGTTACGATCACTTCCAGAAAGCATTAACTTAGTTTCGATAAAGTTCACGTGACGTTAATAAAGTTCACGTGATGAATTGATTAACGACAGATTCGTTAAACGTTTTCGATGCAGATAGAAGTTTATTTTTCTTTATGATCTTTTTAGGTTTCTCATCGAAAATATTGCAAATATTAAGCATATTTCATGCCAATACTAGAAAATAACTGTAACAGAAACATTGAAATTAGTTGACAATGTATGTGTCAATTTATAATAAAAATTTAACTTTTGAATTTTTCTCATTAAAATTTGTAAACATAAATGAATGTTATCTTATAAATAATTCGTACAAGTTACACTTTAATTATGATACAAAACTATCATTCATACATGATAATATTAAGTATGATAAGAAAAAAAAAAAAAAAAAACCAAAAACAAAATCATAATTCTGAAAATTTTTTGTTTAACATATATGATTGAGATTTTTCAGTAAATATTTCTGTTGAAATTTTAATAATTCATACATGATAATTTAAAAAATTTTCTCTTTTTCAGATGCACTTTTCAGTAATTCAAAAACAACATTGCAAGTGGAAAATTGCATACAAATAACTAACTCTAAGCAAAAAATAAAAAAATAAAATTTAATTTCAAGCTATACGTCATTTTGTTGAAACTTTTTTTAATAAATGACATCAGATAAATACCGCATTGTCCACTTCCTGTAATTTGACAATTCCACCAGAAAATGTCATTACCCCATTTCTAGTAATTCAACCGTCAATTTTATTTTATTATAATATTACCGTCATTAGCGCCTCGAATATTGTCTCAAGTTCAATGATATAATAAAGTTTTGAATTTCCATCTGCACTTTCACTATTTTCTTTATGAAATATTAGAATAGACTGGAGATAAATGATAATTTTATTACAAATTTTAAAAAATTTACATCACAAAAAAAAATAAGAACTGATAAAATTTATAAGGTAATTTTAACATTTTCAACAAAAAATTGGTTTAAAAAAAATGCTATATTATATTTACGAAGCGCAAATCGGAATTTTTTTTTCACTTTGTTAACTGTTTTTTTTAAATCCAATATTTATTCATTTGTTTAAACAAACAAATCTCTTTTCACCATTTTTAGTTTCCTATTTGTATTCATCACGTTGCACTGGCGGAAATGGCAGAAATGTCCTTTGTTTTGTAATAAAATTGAATTTCAACTTCTTCTAATATCGCTGAGCAATCACAAAATGTTTTTCTTCAAGCTTTTATCACATTTTTATCATCATCGAAGATTGATATTTGATTAAATGTAATTCAATGATCAGACGAAGTTAATTGTAATTGAATTTATTATGTTTACCATAAAATACTTACGAATGCTTAGTTTGTTTACTTCTTCAAATGTTCTTCACTTCAAAAAACCTGCAGCGATATAAATATAAATAAAAGTTAATCATATAAAAAAAAAATAAACAACTAGATTTAGATAACAAAACATAAAAAGTGCAAGAAATTATCTTATTATTTAGCTTTGATTTTAAAATTCACACTTTTTTTTTTTAAATTTTTTTTTGAAAAAAAAAAAAAAAAAAACAAACAAACGTTCTAAAATTCCTAGAGTAGGTTATGATGAGTTGTTAAAAAAAAAATGCTAATTGTGAAAAGTTCCATTTTATTTTTGCAATAAAATTAATTGGAAATGAATTTGATTATAGAATAATTTCCAAATTTTAATGTTTAATTTGAATGTTATTAATTTATTATTATTTTTTTTAAAGAACATTTATATTTGTTTTATTAATTTGAATCAAAATAGCATTTCAAAGTAAAACGGATAGGTAAGAATTGTTATTGATAGCTAAAATATGGTTCTATAACAAAAATCGTATAATTTATGATTTATACAGCAATTTATGGCTTATTTAAATTATATATTAAAATTTGTTTTTTTTTTTTTAATCCATTTATTATAAACATTTCATGAATATCTTTGTTTTTCAGGGAAATGTTAAAGCTA